GAGCAATATCTAGTGGCCAGATTTATCATAGAGACTTATAGGTGGGCTCTTTTGACTTGGCTAAGTAAGTTACCACCTAGCAACTGCACAGCTACACGGCAACAGCCACTCACAACACCTTAGTAATTGCATAGCAACGCCCTGCCAACCACTCACAACACCTTAGTATTGTGGCAGAATGTTTTGCATGGGCAAGTACCACTCACATTTTCTTAAGATTTTTTTTTTTTTTTTTAAGTTTATTTGAGCATGATCTCACAGTAAGTTAAACATTTTTCACAATTTATAAATTGTATAAGAAGCGTATTACTCGCTTATAAACTTTGCAAAGGAGCACAAAGAAACCCTTGTTTTGATTATTTATTTTTTTGGCTGCGATATTCCAGTATGATTTTCCAGATTCAAAGATCTTTTGGCTCCTCTGGCCCTTTTCAGCTGCCACAGTAAACAGAGCACATGGATATCTTCAGATCCACACCAAAATAGAAGGCAGATAGGAACTTTCCAACTACCAGTCTGACTGAATACGTGCATAACGTCTGCGCCCCCAACCCAACCCCCTGACGCAAAACACAAAGCTTCTAAGATAGTTTAATATGATTCAGATCAGGCACTGCGTCTTTCCTCTGCGCTGAGGACAATGTCAAACAAAGCCTGGCTGCCTGCCTTTGGCCAGACTCAGCAGCCCAAACTGCTTGTGATATTTTTCAGGAGGTGTTAAATGCCCCATTTGGGGAATGAGAAAATATTTGGCATTCTTTCATATAGACCTGCCGTCGAAATCGTCAGCCGACTGATGACAAGTCTCATTGGGGAAAAGAAAGGGTTTGGGTTACAAAATAAACAACAACAACACACATACACAAAAGAAAACTAAGGCAAGAATTACGAGCAGATGTTAAGTTATAATGGATGCTGTCAATAAAATGTGGGAAATAGATTTTGAATATTTGGCATTAACCCTCTGGGGACGGCAAACGCACCGGTGCGTTTTGGGAGATTTTTTTCACATAGCACAAAAATAGACTTAAACTACTCCATGATTTCTGGTCATACAGAGTTAAGACATATTAAAAAATAAACTGTTAAATGTCTACTTTTTTATGTGCCCAACTACAATCGAAATAAAATATTGTGCTTTTGTAAAATAAAGAAAATAAACAGGGTGTGCGTTCTTGCCTCTCCTTGTCCGTGAACTTTTTTTTCTGGAGCACGTCTCTAAACTTAAACAAAACTCAGCGAATACTATTCACCCAGCCATGAGCAATATATGTTTATGATCATTTAAGTTTGTACTTTTAAATTATCTAATTTAAAACTAAAATAATATTCTCTGTTTATGTAATCTATATAAAAAGAGAGAGGTGTCAGCCGTTCTCATTATCGCTATCGCATCTCATTATTCCACTAATGTGACACGCCCACGGAGAGCGTGCGCTATTCAAACGCTAATTATTTGAAGCAACACATTGAGACGTGTAAACGGCCACATAAACTCGGTAAACACACTATATTTAGTCAGATTAATGTACTGTCGTCTTGCGTGGCTGTGAGGAATAATCCTGGGACATTTACCTACCTCAGAACAAGTGCTGGTTTATTTTCACTTCGAGGAGTGAGATGAACTGTAAGTGTTTTATTCTTGTGCTTTGTTCTAATCGCGATATGTAATAACGTTTGTGTCTGTAAACGCAAAAATAGCCTACTGTTTAAATTTGAATCATGTTTCTCTGTGTGTGTGTGTGTGACTAGTTTTGGATAGATTATAAAGTTTTAACTCTAAAATAGACAGTTTCTGCTCATATGTTAAATATATAGTATGTTTTGTCAATAAACTAATCAACTAAGATGGTGTTTGTTCCAATGCAATCTATATAAAAAAATAATGAATCCTTAACTTTGAAATATGTATGATAAAATGTATTGGCCTACTAAGACATTTATGGAAAAAGACCATTTTCTTTTCAAGATGTTTCCAACTCTAACTTTGAACCAATTCTGTAAAATGGCCCATATAACCTATTGGAACAGGATTTGTTTCCAGGTATGACTAAAAATGTGCTTTTGACTTTCATTTATATTTTGATTTTATATATATATATATATATATATATTAGGGGTGGAACGGTACATGTATTCGTATTGAACCGAAACGGTACGGGCGTCACGGTTCGGTGCACGAATTTGCACGGAGAATACACGGTAGGCTTTTGGTGTGAGTCTGTGAACGCAGCAATGAACAGGCTGCGATCAAGATTGCAATGCTGGAGAGTGTGTGTGTGTGTGTGTGTGTGTGTGTGTGTGTGTGTGTGTGTGTGTGTGTGTGTGTGTGTGTGTGTGTGTGTGTGTGTGTGTGTGTGTGTGAGTGTGAGTGTGTGTGTGTGAGAGAGAGAGAGAGAGAGAGAGAGAGAGAGAGAGAGAGAGAGAGAGAGAGAGAGAGAGAGAGAGAGAGAGAGAGAGAGAGAGAGAGGCGCGATTAACAGTGTGTGTGTGTGCGCGCGCGCGTGCGAGAAAGAGAGAGAGGCGCGGGCGCGAATCGCGCGATCGAACTGTGTGTGTGTGTGTGTGTGCGCGCGTGCGAGAGAGAGAGAGAGGCGCGAATCGCGCGATCGAACTGTGTGTGTGTGTGTGTGCGCGCGCGCGCGCGTGCGAGAGAGAGAGAGAGAGAGGGGCAGGGGCGCGGGCGCGAATCGCGCGATCGAACTGTGTGTGTGAGAGAGGCACGGGCGATCAAACAGTGGAAACATAACATACTCCGTCATTTTTTAGGACATCATTAAAACTGCAAATTGTTTACTTATATTTGTGTACACTCGCAATAAAACACAACATTGTGCTTTTGTCACACTCTAAACTCTTAGCAAACTGTAACCTACAACTGTTGACAAAAGTTTTTAGTGGTAGTATTATTTTATACGGAAATCAATTATTTATAATTCAGATGAGAATAAAGTTAGGGTTAATTAAAATGAAGGAAACAAATATATTGATCTGAAATAGCAAATTCATTTTAAATTCATTCAGGTACAATTACCAAACATATCTCAAGGTCTTTTCGTCTTTTTAATAATTTAATTAATAAACTAATTATATAAAACTACTGTCAGTGCACTACAAATAAACTGGTTATATGCCTTTATTAATAAAACTTATTTAAAAAATACAAGGCTTAAGACATTTATATAAAAAGCCTTCTATATTTTTGTTTTGCTATTCACTCCATTGTACCGAAATCGTACCGAACCGTGACGTCTGAACCGAGGTATGAACCGAACCGTGACTTCTGTGTACCGTTCCACCCCTAATATATATATATATATATATATATGTATATATATATATATGTATATGTATGTATGTATGTGTGTGTGTGTATTGTCCTTGCATTCTTTCTTGTGTGACACACCTGAATGAAAGGCTCATTAATATGCGGGTCTTTGTCTTCTCAACAAAAAATGTTTTTCACAATTTAAAAGAATCTATTGTGTTATGTAAATGATTAGACAGGATGATTTTCAGATCATTTTGAAGCAAAAACTCTAGGCCACAATTTCCATTAGTCAAAAGTCTTGTGGACACATATTTAGTAAGTGTTTTGTGGCTTTATATCAGAAACTTAATTTTTTTGTTTTTTCAATAACCATGCATAAACAATATTCTCTCAAAAATACAAACATGTACATACATGTTGCTCACATATTACGGTAGCCCTGTTTGTGCTAAATAGAGTGTAATTTCACCTGTGCCATTAATATGTTTTTAAGCAACTGAAAAAAGCACAAATGTCTGGGCATGTCAAAACATCTCAAGGACCCCAAAAACACCTTGGTCCCCAGAGGGTTAAGGTGCGGTCACATTAGCGAACTTTCAACAAAATTTTGCAGGCAAAAATGTCCATTGTCTGTTGTCATTAGTGTAGTGATATATAAAGCACAGCACACACAGAAGACACTTTCAGATCGAGCTGCTTTCTGTTGACCAGTGGCATTGTGTGACCAACTTGAAATTGAGCGAAATTCTCAGGAGGACATTTTTTCAGCCACCTGATGAAAACAAACATGGCAGCGCAGATCGGATGACCGTTTCATTGATATATTAACATTATTGTGCTTATATGCCCTATAAACTTTTATTGTGGTACTTCTGTGATAATTTGTGTGTCTGTGATATAAAATAAAGAAATACTTCAGAAATTAAAGTAATCAAATGTAAAATAACACTGGATAGTCTTCGTTGTAAAAATGAAATACAGATTAATGCTAACAATTAAAGTTACAAAACTTATTCAGTCAAGAGCAGCGAGTGATTTTCTTTCTCTTTCGTTCTCTGATTAACATGACAGACGGCAGCAGCTTTATTAGGCTGCTGTCACTTTAAGAGCTTATGCACAGATCCAATATACTGTTACACGACATGTGTTATCTTTCTCAACTAATTAGGTTCCAAAACTGACTGTGTTTAACTGAATACTGATGAGTGAGAGGAGGTGGGTGTGTGTCACTCTGCCGTCAGAGAGAAGAGGAGAATGCTTAGCTAACGTTATTGCCTGTGCCGATGGCAACAAAACGGACCGGCTCGGAATCGGTAAGACGTGAGACTCACCGACCGGTTACCGGTCCGGGTCGATCATGTGGAAAATCGACCGATTCCGGTCCCTGGCCGTTCGATCGGTGCACCTCTAGTTACGGATATGAACCATAATCGCATAATGGGCAAATGCGTTGTGCTAATATTTATGATTTTCACAAGGCAGATGATAAAATGGGCGAAAACATTTGTGGACTTTGTGGCATAGGAGTGTCCCGGGCCATATCTACGGGAACCGAGTATCATAGAAGTCAAATCATGTCACCCAGATCACCTTAGCAACCCCATTCGAACTCTCTGGCCAGCGGGTTTTGCACGGGCAAACACCATGTTTTCTTCAAAAGTTACGGCATGGAGAACCAATGAATTTCTGTCATCTAAAGACCTCACTTTTGATTTCTTTTCTCTCTTAGGTATGACATCTGCACCTATAAGAACAAACCCTGCGGTACTCTCGGTAAGTACCCGAAATGAATCCTAAAACCAAATATTCTTCGATTTAAACATACGCCACTAAACGCCAAATGCTACATGCTTTGTTTTAATGGTGTAACAAATAATTCTGCGTGAGTTTTGGGAAAGACTTCACTGCCCGGTCTTTATTGAGCTGCTTGGCTCACGTTGAGCTCAAACATGGCTCAATGCCTGCCTGCCTCTACAGACACCACTGTCTCTTGTTTCATTTCCTAACATTCCCACTTCTGTCTGCTACGGGATGGAGGTGTTTACCCCTCCCCTGTGCAAGCCAAAAAAGAAAAGGAGTGAAGAAAATTAGACTATACAATATATAACAGAGAACAACATGATAAAAGAAGAATTAACATGTTTAAAGAAGTCGGGATAACTGAGGGAAAAGCCCTAAATGGTCTGTGTCAAAGCCTCGTCTTATCTGAACCAGCCTCCTCCAGGGCTGAACCGTATATCTTAGAAGTAATATTGTGACTCCAGGGGTGGTTTGACAGATTGACCGCATTCGTCACATTCCCCGGGTCCCTTTAATTGCCCTGGCATCTGCTCTGCTTCCTTGCTGCCCCCCCCCCCCCCCCCCCCCCCCCCTCCCCCCCTCCCCCCCTCCTCTTTCTCCACCTCCATCTCCACTTCAACACCCCCCACTCACCCAGAGGCATCACCATGATCTCGGGTCAACGTGTTGCCCTCTGGGGGTCATCGCAGAGTGGGGATAATACCAACGCGACCCTCGGCTTAGGAAAACAAGCCCCACCAATGAGCTTTCGAGTCAGCCTGGGCCCACTAACCCTCTTCCATCCTGTATCGCTTTCCTTTTTTGTCCTTCTTGCCTCCAGTCGGTGTCTTATTAGCCTTTGATTTGCATGTCCGCTCTTGTTTGGGCCTCTGGATAAGGAAGATAAAGAGGCCAGAAGTGCTTTGTTGGAGCGATAGCTCCCAAACACTCACAAGCCTCTCTTGGTATCCCATATTAGGATTCAATATCTTTAATAATATTTTGCCCACCGGGAGGTCAGGTTTAGACCTTTTCAATACTCTTTTGTTATATTGTCAACTTTTAAATGAGTAGTTCAGCCTCATGCCATTCCAAATCTCTATTACTTTCTTTTTTCCCCTTTTCTCTGTAGAACAGGGGTCAGACGTGCCTTTCTTTCTTTCTTTCTTTCTTTCTTTCTTTCTTTCTTTCTTTCTTTCTTTCTTTCTTTCTTTCTTTCTTTCTTTCTTTCTTTCTTTCTTTCTTTCTTTCTTTCTTTCTTTCTTTCTTTCTTTCTTTCTTTCTTCAGTTAATACAGCATGATTTTAATTTCTGAATTAAAATTATTTTTGATATTTATGGAGAAGCATAAAGTGAAACAAAACTGCTTTTTGTAAAAAAAGCCCATGTGGTGCGAACAATAATGTCATGTGGTGCAACCAACTTGCAGGAAACACTGTAAAATAAAGTGTTACCGTATTTTTTTTTTATAATAGTGTCTTTGTTACATATGTTACATGTACTTACCATACTAATAACAGTAAATTATGCATAATTACATGCAACTAAACCTCAACCAAATCCTAATCCTACCCTGACCCTATAGTAAAGTACATGTATTTAATTAATATTACTCTGTACTTAAATGTATAATAACACTGTAACAATGACACCTTGAAATAAAGTGTAACCAAAAATACCCCTGCAGACTGTTAAATTATTACATAATTTGACCTTTTTTATGAACACTGTAAAAAAAGTTGCTGTCTTAAATTAAGTACAATCAACTTGGATGTTTAAGTCATTTCATCTTAAATTACATTAAACTGACTTAAAAAATGAGTTGAATCTTGAATAACTTAAATATTTTAAAATTGCAACTTATTTTGATGAGTTAGTTCAGGTTGTAAAATGTCATGTGGTTCGACTCCCCAAAACCTAATGATGTTTATGAATTCATTATACTTGTAAAACATACTATTTTGAATATCATGATTAAAATGTGTACACTTACATGTATTGCAAGGTGTAAAGAATATGTTATTACTGTTTACTCATTAAACTGAAGAAAATGGTAGAAACGTTTTTTTTTTTTTTTTAAACCATATGAAACCAACAGGAATACAAAGAATGCATGTCGAAGAACTTGGCATACATGTTTTAAACTTTCCCATGTACAATTTTAAAGGCGTTTCACCGCACTCACGATAAACAAGGTGCCAGACAGACACAACTAAACAACTCAGAAAATAAATAAACTGTCTGCACACTTGAATCCTTTAAAGCAATTTTAATCGCCAAGCTTTCGGTCACAAGACCATCCTCAGGGCATACAAAAACTAAATGTCACATTCCATTTAACTGTGTTCAAAACACATCAGGACAATCAACAATAATAACCCACACCTGCAGAGGCCAGGTATGACCAGTTGTAGTCCAATAGTGGGAGTTGTAGTTTTTAGGTGATCAACACTAACTCCACATAGTGAAAAAACAAAATGGAAACAAGACAAAGAAAAATGAAAAATCACACTACAAGAAACCGACATAAGTATACATATACAAAAAATATACAAAAAATATATATAGAGGCACATATATATATACACACACATTCATTCATGCTTACTATATAAGTATATGGAGACTGCAAAAACATCAGTAACAACTTCATAAACTGCAGTATTCAAGACTTATAGAAAACTTATAAAAGACCGTACAACTGTGACTATAGCATGACACTCATGTCAAAGTCCACATTTAAACCTTTAGGATGCAAGGCGTCCAGAGTATGAATCCAGTAAAGTTCCCTTTGGCATAGCACTTTATCAATATTGCCACCTCTAGGTAATTTAATCTGCTCAATTCCCTGAAAACGAAGAGAAGAAACTGAATGAGCAACCTCTGTAAAGTGACCGGCCACAGGGTAGTTAGGGTCAGCACGTCGAATCGAGCTTTTATGCTCACTGATCCTCTGTTTTAAACTACGTGTGGTCTTTCCCACATACACCATATCACAAGGGCATCTTAAAATGTAGACAACATTCTTAGTTTTACATGTAATAATGCCCTTCACATTGTAGCTCTTACCAGATCTAGGATGTTTAAAGTTATAGGTCTTGTGTGTATTATTACATTGGGCACAATTCCCACAGGGATAGTTCCCATCCCTAAGGGGTGCTAAGAGTGTTTGGGTTGGGGCTGATCTTATACATGCTTTGACTAACCTATTGCGAAGGTTAGGGCCCCGTCTGGAAACAAACAAAGGTGGATCCTTAAATTTATCCTGAAGAGAAGAATCATCAGATATAAGGTGCCAATATTTCATTATGGTGTTTTTAATAATAAAGGATCTTGGAGTAAACAAAGTTATGCAGGAGATAGAGAATTTTTTGTCCTTTTTACAACTCTTTTTCAAAAGGTGTGATCGTGGTGTAGAGAGGGCAGTATTATAGGCCTCTTCAATACTTTTAGTGGGATAACCCCTGGTTAAAAATCTTTGTTTCATATCTATAGCATTTTCTTTAAACTCTTCAATTGAATGGCAAATACGTCTAAGTCTGTAAAATTTACTCTTCGGCAGGCCGTTTTTTAGGGCACTGGGATGCGAGCTGCTTGCCAAAAGGAACGAATTGCGATCAGTCTCTTTACGACTTTCCCATGTACAATGAAAACATATTGTGTCAAGCCATAACACACAAAGGACAAAAAAGCAGCACAAAAGTATCATAAGATAAGTCTATACAACTTGTGGTATATATCCATAGTCATATATGAGGGACAGACAGGAATTTAAGTTATTCACAGATAATTTTCCAACATGGCTCTCAAAATTTAAATGAACCTGTGCATTTTCAAACTTCAAGAAGTGTTAAGACCCCAAACACCATTGGTTCTCACATTCTCGGATGTGACACAAAAATGGAAAATTGACATTTACTTCTTGTTCTTTTAGTTCTTGCGCAGTACCTATTTAATTTTATAAGCCCCAAAAGTAGGTACTTTTACCTTTAAAGAACCAAGGTCTCCTTGTTGATTTCAGTTTGCAAAGATAAACTACTCACCACATGTTTGATCCAATCAGAGGCCAGAGCAGGCTACTTGGATCTTGGATGGTCCTCCATACATCTAGCTTTAGGGTTTTGTGTTTTCTTCCCACCAATCACCAACAGATGTAATCTGGTGAGAATTGTTCTTCTCTCCCAGGCTGGACAGAGGGGGAAAAAAGAACTAAGAGACACCTGGATTTTGCAAAAGCCCATTTCCCCACTTCATAGCTTCAAGGGAACCCCCTCCCCTTAACAGAAGCAGCTGGCTTTGAGACTTGAAGACTCAATCTTTGCTCCATCTTCTTCTATGTCAGGAAGAAACATCTGATGTGTTTTGTAAGACATGGTGTTAAATGAAGACTTCTTTAGGACAATTAAAAGAATAATTAGTTCATTCTTATTGCTTAAAAAATATGGAATATAGTGCACAAGTCGTATGGCCTACTGTTATGATCATTTTGTGGTTGGATTCTTTTTGATGCTTGAAAGCCCCTATAATTGTGATTGCGTGGAAAAGAGCGACCAATATTTCTCAGAATTTCTACATTTTTCATTTTTGAGTGTATTTTTTATTTAAGTTTTTTAATTTTAAGTTTTTGTAGTATTTTCATCACAATTAACCTGCCAGTTGTTTGTGGTGACGGCAATCCCAGAACAAACACAGTGGGAAAAAAATAATGGGAGAAAAAATAACTCCTTATAAATATACTTTCAGCAAATTCATTCTTTAATATTAAATAACTAAAATGTATACAGATTAGAAATTGCTTAATCTAATTAAAATTGACTATGTTAGCCAAAATTAGTTTTTGTGCGTGTGTGTGTGTGTGTGTGTGTGTGTGTGTGTGTGTGTGTGTGTGTGTGTGTGTGTGTGTGTGTGTGTGTGTGTGTGTGTGTGTGAGTTGGTTTATGTGATTTATGAGGACACAAATTTGTATAATGACATGTGTATTACACTGGTATTACAACTTATGGGTGGTTTATGAGGACATTTCAAAAGTCCTCATAAGTCAAATGGCTTAAAAAACATAAAAAACAATGTTTTATTAAAAAATTAAAAATGCTGCATGTCTCCTGTGATGGGTAGGTTTAGGGATAGGGGCAGTGTAGGGGGATAGAATATTTAGTTTTTACGGTATAAAAACCATTCCGCCTATGGAGAGTCCTCATAATGCTGTTGCACCAACATGTGTGTGTGCGTGCGTGCGTGCGTGTGTGAATTGTGAGTCGAGTCTCCAGTGTACTTGGCATAATGTTCTTTGAATGACTTACGAGTTGCTGTCTATGGAGAGTGTTCTAAATCAGTCAATTATGATGTTACATTTCAGTTATCGTGTATGTAGTCCGTGGACAGAAAGACTTGAAAGTTTTATGAGATTAAGTGCCCTATGCCAGTGCTGCCACACAGAGGTGGCTTGCTACATAAGTTACAACATAAAAACAGAGTAGATTTAATGTTTCCTTCATTCCATACATATTAAATAACAGGCCTGTTTATTTATGGCAAGGAAAATGACAGTGCAGCATAACCCTTAAAGTACAAACCTCTCGGAAAGCCAAGTCCCTGTAGGCTGGGGACCAAAACACTGTCAGTAGTAAATTTCAGCTTATGTCAGTTTTGTGCTAATATCCAAAAATTGTCAACTAAATCTCATTTGGAACAAAACAAATATAACAGGATTAAGAAAACAATGATTTCTTTGACTCTTGAAACCTTGAATACTAAAAACATCTATATTTTTTTGGGGGGGCAAAGTGAAATGTTTTCTTGAATTCTGAGCTCTGGCTTGCATTACTAGGTGGTCCCTTGTTACCAGATGTAGAATTTATAAATCTAACCCCCTTGTCTAGACATTTTCCAGCTACAACATCAGTTGTTTTTTTATTTAATCGTCTAGCCGTTAGTGTTGACCCACCCCCTAGTGATTTAAAAAAAAAATTCGCATAAACTTTTCACCAGCTTCAAGTTCAGTGGTTTCGAGGTTAATGTGAAGAATCTCATTTCATGGTGGTGACTCAGTGTAGCACTTCTACACCTTGACCTGACCTCATCTCTCTGTGTGTGTGTGTGTGTGTGTGTGTGTGGGGCCAGGTTTGGCGTCTGTAGCCGGAATGTGTGAGCCAGAGAGGAGCTGTAGTATTAATGAAGATATAGGCCTTGGCTCTGCCTTCACTATTGCACATGAGATCGGACACAAGTAAGTATGTTTTCTCTTTCTATTTGTATATTGTCTAAAATTGTTGTTAATTAGTGGTGTTTGCTAAAGCAAACATACGTTTCTATTGTTCATGAAGTAATTGAACCTTAAATTGTCTTGTTTACAGTGAGTTTATACATTTGTGGTCTTTTGTTGTCCATAGAATCAAAAACCTAGGAGAGGAAATAATTGGGAGATATATACGAGAATGTTGCAAGCCAGATTGAAACTCATTTTTCCTGCATAAGCACCAGGACTCAGTGTTTTAATTCAAATAATGACATTTTCTAAAAGAAAACCTAAAAAGTATTTTGATGTAATCTTCTGTTTTTATTATTGGTTAAGAATTGGTAAGTATTCAATTAACAAAGTATATTCAATTAACAAAACTTTTATTCGCCAAGTGAAGGTCATGTGGTGCAAACATGCAGACACATGGAGACCCTCACGACTGTGTCAAAACAAACAAGTCTCTTAAAATGTCAGATCATTTTTTTTATGACAAGGTACAGTTCATTCAGACTGTAAAGGGTCGTGTGGTGTAAAAAACGTTTCTTGATATTTATAAATGAATAAATGTAATGATATTTGAAAAAAAAAATATTATTTATACTTTAAAAAAATATATATGTAAACACTTTTTTGAAAATAATGATCAAGATGCATTCAGGGTGTTTAGTGTTTCAAAACCGTATGTTTTTAAAACATTTTTTTAAAGATTGTTTTTCTTTTCTTTGTCTTATTTTGATGCCTATATTTCAGAGCAGTATCAGGTTGAAGTGGATTGCAGGTTGCAAGTGAATAAGCTGAGATACAACTGTAACTGTTTAGTGAATTCAACCCTGAATGTTTAAAGAGATGATCAGGACTCTATTAGAGTCCTTGTGGTTGAAAAATGACTCAATATTCTACAAATGACGCTTTCAGTTCTCATAGGATATTTGTGTCTGGATTGGTTTTATTGTGGTCATTATTATGTATATTCCTCAAGCCAAAATGCAAAGCGTGTACTGCCTGCACACATATTTATGCAAATGACAGTCTGAACAAATGAACCCTATCCTGAAGCTTAGAAAAATAACCATGATCTATTGGTCTACGTAGCTTTTCGGCTAAGTTCAGCGAGATTGCAATTTCCTCTATTATGTCTTGCGTCTGCTTCTGTTGTGGATCAGTTGTAAAAATAGCCGCTACTTCTTGTGGGGAAGGTTTCTCCCGCGCTGATTTATATTGAGAGTAGAGTGAAATGTCATAAATGTGCGCCTTAAAAAAACACAGAGGAATTGTGTGATGTGGTGGGGAGGGGGGTTATATGCATTATAAACTGATTTTGGATAGACCCTGGCCGGCAACGAAAGCTTCGAGGTCTTGCTGTAAGGTGATCTAACTTTTTCATACAATATCCAGACAGATATGTAAGGGAACAAAATTTGCACGGCTCAAATGATGTATTTGTGGACTTGCCGGCAAGGAATGTGGCTGAATGCTTCAGCAGTCTTGTACGCCGATGGCCCATGAGCAGATGAAAGCAGCTTGGAGGAACGGGAAAAGCAGGCCAGGTTCATTAAGAGATGACTGTCCAATTGAGGTCTGCTCAAACGTGTAATTATTGATTGACAGCCCGGGATCAGGGTGGTGATTACAACTTTCGCCCTCCTCCAGAGCTCCAGACAGCCCCTGACCTTTGACCCATCTGTCCTCTTCTCACAGCTGTTACCGAGTCAGAAAAGGCCTCTCTTTACAGCTTAGCTGAAGGAGACGTCCTCCGCTCCTGATCTTTCAGAGCTGCCCAAGCTTGTTGCTTGTTTGCGGGGTGGGCCTTGTGATTGACATGATCCATCAAAGCTCATGATCTGCCGCTTGTCTCGCAGTTTCGGCATGAACCACGATGGGATCGGGAACTCCTGCGGGACCAAAGGTCACGAGACAGCCAAGCTGATGGCGGCCCATATCACAGCCAACACCAATCCCTTCTCCTGGTCAGCCTGCAGCAAGGACTATATCACCAGCTTTTTGGAGTAAGTGAAAAGAGGATTTGAAGAATGCTTCTTTTGTCTGTAATGATTTTATAAAGATTTTATAATCTAAATGTTAGCGGTCTTCAAGGGTCCAATTTGATTGGAAATCCTGAGAACTGAGCGGGTTCGAAAACTTTGACAATAGGGAAGAAAAGTCTATTGCCGACTTTAAATAAATGTGCTTTTACCAAATGGACCCGAGAAGACCCAAATTCCTTTAAAATATGCCAACTTTACAATATTTTTTTCGTGCATTCAACAGTTTTATCATTTCAAATAAATACATATTAAATAATTCTATGACAATGTTATTATCCCCCTTCTTTGTTCCCTCTCAGTTTGTGCTTCTATGTAAATTCTCAAACCCTCCTGGATACTGGTGTATGCAGCAGCATTTCATTCAAACTGCAAATCTCCAATACCTGATGCATTTAAGAGAATGCATACTGGGGTTTGCTTAATATTAAAATCAAAGGGGACCTATTATGCCCCTTTAAGTCTCAGGTGACCCTAGAATCTGTCTGTGAAGTTTCAGCTCAAAATACCAGACAGATTAATTATTACGTCTCCTGTAAATGCCAATTTTTCAGCGGAAGGAAAAACATTCTTGTTTTTGTGCATGTATCTTTAAATGCAAATGAACCGCTTCTCCCCGCCCCACTTTCCAGAAGAGCCTTTACAGCTCGTGCCTCGGACACTCTGGCAAAAACAAAACATCTGTTTAGTTTCGATTATCATCTCTACAGTATCACTGTCAGGGGCGGACTGGCCATCTGTGTGATCTGGAGTATCACAGAACGGCCGGTACTCCAGGACGGCCGGCGGGCCGGCCCACCACCCGCCACACACGCAGTCATAACCTGTTTTTTCCCCCCACTAATCTGTTTCACACTCCAGTACTGTAGGTGGCAGCAATGCACCTTTAAGTTGGATGCCAGCGCGGAGCATTATCAGCTCGGCCCAAAAAAACTGCGATCGCGGCCGAAGCAGCTGTGCGGACTGATCTCGATCACGCGAACATTATTACACAGAGTTGCGCGATCCACTGAGAAGCATTTCAATTCAGCCCAGAATTCTCTATCTCTATTTTAAACCCACAGATGGCTGTGATTTAAGATAGTTAAAAGCCAGATTAAACAGCGCTGATATTCTCAACATCTTGACGCAAAAAAACAGGTGAAACATTGTTCCAAGAACAAACCAGTTAGAAGACATTTCACTCCACAACTTATGAATTAACTGTAACTTAGTAAAACGAATTTTTTTGGCAGAAATGTGCCTGTATTCATATTAAAAATGCTGTTATATTAATAGTCATGTAGGCCTATAAATGTAGGCTATTAAATGTAATGCAGTAATGTTTTGTGTTTAGAAGTTATGGCAGTTTATTTATTTATTTTGCATTAAATATTTATACTAAATGTTTATGCTACAATAGGTTTTTAGAGAATTATATATATATATATATTACAAATTTTTCACCAATTGTTGAACCAGAATATCAAGATATTTTATTATTTCGCATATGATGGTGAAGTAAAGGTAAAGGTAAAGGTAAGGTAAAAAAAAACACCACCACGTTATATGTATAATAAATATTTTTGAGTATAGCCCTTCTAGATTATTTTATCCCTTGAGGTAGCCCTCACACACAAAAAGGTTGGAGACCCCTGGTATAATAGTAACTAAATGTTTTATAATTACAAGTTTGTGTAATTAGGGTTTCTGTAGCCAGTGACATTTCATTATTTGTATTTTATTTTCAATGCAGATGTAATGGCATTGTACATTTTGTTGTTTTTATTTGAAGACTGAGGCTTCATTAATAAACAAAACCCCAATTGTCATCATTGTTTTTGAGATATTACTTGCTGTGAATACCTTGTCTGATATAGATTACAGTATTGTGGCATAGTATCAGGACATCCTAGTGGCTAGGGGCGAATGGCTGGATGATGGGCCTATTTGGGAGAAAGTCCAGGGCTGTTTTTTAGCCCCAGTCCGTCCCTGATCACTGTCATGGTCACGTGACTTTGTGGTTCTTCATCTTCATGAAAGTTTATTATCTGCATGCGTTTTAAAACCAGTCTAAACTTCTGATATATGGTTTTCTGAGAGCACACACGCGAAGCTCGCGCACAGAAAACTGGATGTCAGATGGCGCGTCCCATGAGTATTTAACTAATTTGTCTTTCGCCTCTTATTGCATTTAAACTGTCAAATACACACAAGGTTATGTCAAAAACACACAAAGTTCACATAAACACAGTCGGTGATGTAACAGATAAACATGGCGGACTGTGTACAGATCACTCAGGGGAGGAGCTAAGGTAATAGGGCAGATTCCGTCAGTCAATAATCTTTTACCTTGATTATCTTATCATAATCGTCGGAAGCCAAAATCAATTATGACTAATCGCACATCCCTAGTTTAGAGTATGCAGATAGATTCTTTTTATGCTTTTACTCTTTATTTTCCCAATATAATGCATTATGCCACTTTACAATTGGGAAAATTGTGAATTTATTTTTTATAACCACATAAATGTGCTTGATTTGAAAGAGTTCAAGGCTAGACGAGAGCGTGGTTGATCTGTAGTAGGCAGTCATAGGCAGGACTGGGAATTGTTAGCCTAAAGTAAGACGAAAGGAAAGAATAGTGGTTGCCATGGCTGTCAAAAAGTTTTCCTGGTGAATGACCTCATGGAAGAAGATTAACATCACAGCCATCGCTTGCATCAGAAGCTTTATCATCGTGTGCCAACTTCCCACACAAACACAAAGACACGCTGCTCTGTTGGTTTGGGATGAACTCCCTGTTGTATAATCACACCGTGTCATCTGTGACCATTTCGGATTGAGGTTGAATACTTACCTTCCTTTTTTGGATTTGCTTAGCACCGAGCAATTCATCAATAATGGGCCTTCTCTAAAATCTCAGGTTGATGTAATCTTTGGCAGTAAAACAGCTTTGCTATGATAATGCTAGTCTATTTCCGCAACATCCCCATCTAGCAGATTCTGGATGTGTGGATGGGTCTTTTCTCGCCAGAAACCGGTGGGTTTGGCTGTAGATTCCGACTTGTTTCAGTGTACTTGTTTGTACATGTACAGTAGGAACTTTCAATAAAGAAAGAGGCTTTTGAAAAATGCCTACTGTTTGCAGCAGTCATTATTACTGTTAGACTGATCTATCGAACATATATGCTCATCTTGAGATCGACATTGACAATAAACATGCCTTTTGGCCGATTGAAAATTAAACATGTCACTTCCAAAGTATACAATAAACATAAACTTTCATTCCCAAATATTTAAGATAGTTGTAACGAAAAATGTTGAGTAAAAATTGTGTAAAATAAGCATTTGATTGGATTTCTGTTCTTTCTCAACCATCGTCCACCCTGTTCTTGGACAAGATAGTATCGCTTAACTTTAATTAGAGGCCCCGTCTACACCTGTTATTAATGCGTTTTGGTCGATCGGATCACAAGTAGACGAGGGAGACACATTCCCATTTACACCTGGTGTTTTAATCTGTCTCTTTTGTCCACTTTCAAACAATTCTGTCCTGGTTTCTTCTAGGGGAGGGTCTATGGGCAGGTAAATGTATAGGCTTTTTCAGATCTTTCGATCTAATGGACGCAATAAGCTTGCGCAATTTACATATGAACGCACCCGGAGATGACAGGAAAACATACAGAGAGCAGCAGAGTGAGTGTGTGTTAGAAATCACAAAAGGTGAGAGAACATTGTGCTTGGTTTGTTTTTCATCTTCAAACCAAACTTGGGTTTCCAGCCGACAAAGTTTAAATCCCTTCTGGCTAGCGCACCTCCCGTAATGTTTGCGCATTAGGTCAGTAGGCGGAGAGAAGACGCTCTTTTGTGGCTGTTCGAACGCATTCGACCACATGAACGTCTACACTACGAAAGCAATCCGGTCAAATGCGTTTTCAACTACCTCTGGAAGTGGTCAAAAGTGGACAAGCTCAAAATGTTTTAGACCCGTTTACACCTGTATTTAGCCTCGTCCACTTGTGATCCGATCGACCAAAACGCATCTTAATACCAGGTGTAAACAGGGCCTTAGACACAACATGGCCAGTTATTTTGTGTATTTTCGCTCTGTCAAAGAAAATGATTCCAAATTAAGATAAAGCAGGATCAACCGTTGCGTGTCATCGAACAAGAAAAACGGACACAAACACAGTCAAACTGAGCGATACAAACGGTAAAGTGTTTTATGCTAGATATCAGTGCTCTTGGAATCCTGCTTGTCCAATTATGTAGATTAGAGGACCAGAACTAACTGTTATCTGTGTTATCACTAGCTTAACATTTTTCGATATCGATCAAACACTAGGTAAACGATTGCCTTTTTTTTGTGTGATTTCCTATTTAACTATTTGTTTTCTATTAAGTTTTCTTTCATTGCTGGCATATCTGCTCGTGTGAATGAGTTTACCCAAGGAAGTTTTGTTGACGTCAAATAAACATGTCCATTTTTAAAGTGACCATTTTTGTCTTTCTCTAAAAAAAAAAAAACAGTCTTTGTTTGTGTATTCCAATACAAGAGGACATATTCAGACTTGTCTTTCTCCCCAGCGAGGGGTTTATTCTACCAAAACACATGGGAAAAAATAGAAAACTAAGGGGATGAAACCAAATACAACATTAGTTACCCCCAGGCTAGAGCTCATGTGTTTCTTTCCTTTCCAATGTATTTGGTTTAGTTTTTTAATTAGATTAGACTTCCAGTATTGTGGTGGGAAGCCAGATATCCCTGTTTCACCTAATGCTTCCTCTAAAAATGCACTACAGAAACCAGATCCATGTTTTTTTTAGACATCTAGATATATTTTTGAATGCCTTTTTGTCAATGTAATGTATGATTTTATCAACCGCATTATTTAACTATTTTACTATATTAAGCTAACAATAAAGTAGGGGAAAATTAGGGCTTTCATTAACCGATGTTATGCGAGCAAACGTAATTTTTTATATATGTTATATGAAAATATATATATATATATATATGTTGTTGCAATTTTAGTTTAAAGAAAGCTAAATTCATAAAAAAATATTCTGATTTAAGAACTAGGTGATTTTAATGAGCTAAGCCCCAGTGCACACTAGCTCCGGCCCTCTTTACATGAAAACAAATAGTTATAATTTAAGGTTTCCATTTTTCCATCTTCAGACCAATAAAAGTTAGACCCGTATTCCATGTAGAAAGTGTCTGAAAATGTAATGGCATACCGTCAGAGGGCGAGTGTGTCTTGGCTGATGCAATGTAAACTCGCTCTCTTTAGAGGCAATGTTGCTTTTAGCAGCGCACGGTGGGGTGGTAGGTTAACATGCTTTAGGTTGCGCGTTCAGTTGCAGCAATCATGCGAATGCCAGACAGGACCTAGAATAGAGCCGCCTGCTCTCCAGCAGTATGAAATGTTAGCGTTTATGTTGTTAGCGAGCCCACTGTTCCCTCAGAGAGAAGGAGAGCGTATTCCGCGGCATGCTGCTGGCAAAGCGAGCGGGATAATAATTGGCTGTTTTATTCCGGCGGACAGCAGCAGCGTGGGGCGGACACGTCTCTCAGCCGCTTGCACACGCCAGGGAGGGGGGAAAAGCGTCCGTAACAGGGACGCCGAGAATAAAACAAGATCCACTTCTGAACCCAGAATAAACACAGTCCAGCAAAACATGCACTGTCTGGCCTCTTCTTGGGCTTTATTTTTTTACTTTGTTCACTGCAGACGGAGCAGTGGCCCTTTTTTTTTTGAGGGTTTCTTGGGAGCGTTCATATTTCTATCTGACTAAACAGACTAAACACAACTCTTGACTGGACGCGTAACCTCCGGTACCTTCTGCGTTTTTTTTTTGCTCCTTCAGTCGCTTTCGTCATTTTATTGGCTCTTCAAAGGATTCCATAGGCGCACCGCAGTAGGCCTACCATATAAGTCCGAATCTCAGCCTTTTATGGCCACTGTTTGTCATTCATGCTTCCTCCCCTCATTTTGCTTTCTGCTTTTTCCAGGTTTCTCACTCGCTTATTCCCATTAACAATACACCTTCCCATTTCGTTTCATCTGAGCTTTTGGCATTAAACACTTTTTTTCCTCTTGTTGGTAACAAATGAAACCTCTGTAGAGGAGCCAATCCCATTAAAGGTTTGTTTTTTTGACAGCTCAGGTCGGGGAACGTGTCTGGACAATGAGCCTCTGAAACGAGACTTCCTGTACCCCACTGTGGCTCCAGGGCAGGTGTACGATGCAGATGAGCAGTGTCGTTTCCAGTACGGTGCCTCCTCCCGTCAGTGCAAATATGGGGTAAGAAGGCTGCAACACACTATCATGCTCTGGGAATGTCGTTCTTACATGGTGACATTTGTTGGCTCAGGGACCAGGCAGAAAATGAGACAGTTTGGATTAAACCAAACTGTTTTTTTTTTTTTTAAATAACAATATGGCTTTAATCATAAAGTATTCATTAAAAGAGAAAAAAATTAAATGTAAGTGTGAAATATTTTTGCCACTAGTGTCACCAAATGCAAAAATAATATCTGTTTTCAGACAGGTTTCCCAAACTCATGCCATTGGTTGAGACAATGTTTCTGTGTCGGACTGGTCTTTATACAGACGGAGCAACAAATACATTTTTTACAGACTTCTGTTCTAAACATCCGCACACATATCAACAACCAAAAATGAACTTTTTGCCTCCGCTCCTCCATGAGGGATACGAGACCCGTGCGTCGCGCAGGTGTCGCTCATCATTAATCACGCCTCGCGCCGCTCTCTCACACGGCCCTCGGCCTCGTCCTGCTCACCACAGTTACCTCTTGAGCTCGGAAGGGTTCAGTTTGAGCAGATCCTCCTTACCATCATCACTGTCCTCGTCAGAGCTCATTTCCCAGTACATTCAGCATCTGGCTAATATTCGCAATCTCAAACATATTCTCAAAACTATCATTTTCAACATCTTAAAAATCTAAATTAATATATCGCTGACAGCTTCTTCACCAGGTCCACCATAAAGTGTCAGTGACACTAATATTGTTGAGCCATTTCAAGTTTTGCTGATGATACTTCCTATTCTTTTGTTTTCTGCCTGCGGTAACTATGAGTGAAACGTCACTCCATCATTGTGTATCAGACATTGCCAGCTTGTGGAGTAAAGATGAATTGCACTTATTCAGTCATCAAAGATTCAATTATTGTTGTGCAGAAAAAATATACTTACACTGTTACACATATCGGGTCGTTAGCGACCCTATACAGTTTTGGGTAACGCTTCCTTTTACAGTCCTGTTACCCATGTACCTACAATGTACTTATTATAGTAATTATAATTACTGGGTAATAACTAGGTACTAACCCTGAACCTACCCCTAAACCTACACCTAACCCATGTACTTACCTTATATTAGCCAGTACTTTCTAGGTAAGTACACTGTAAGTACACGCAAGTACTGTACTGTAAAAGGAAGCGTTACCCAGTTTTGTACAAAAAATGAATGGGAAAACAGGCATTCTTTTATAATTTTATTATTTTTTTCTTGTTCTATTGATTTATAATGAATTTATTGAGGAAACCTAAGAAGGTTAATGTCTAACTTTAAAAAATGAATGAGGAGGAGGGTAGTGAATGACGTCCTGGGTTAAAATTCAGGAGAAAGTTGGTGACATTTTTGAATTATGTACATAATGCGGTAGATGTTGGATTTTTTAAACACTGCAGAAATGTTGTTCTGACATTTTTAGCATTACTTAAAGCTGCATTACATAACTTTTTGGGGTTAAAAATTATCCAAAATAAATTTGAGCAAGTACATAACCAGCCAGTGTTCAAAACTCTCTGCTTGCCGTAGCTCGATTCAAAGCGGTACGCTTGTAATAATGTTTTTAATTCCAGTGGTACTGGTAGATTTCCGCGGGAGATTCAAGCATGTCTTTGCATCATTACGTTACATCTGTACACATAAAGAAGAGTCTCGGCTAGTAGGCAATATTGCGTGTGAGGATGGTGGAGATTTATAGCCTAAATATTCAATGTAAATACAAATGTTTGTCCTAACCAAGTGTGCTTTGCTAGAAAATGACAGGACACAGAGTAATATAATGTGAACACACATCAGATATGTGCTACATTCTTGATGCTTTACCTGTGAGGTCAGAACCTGCTGCATATGTATTAAATCCAAGAGCTGATTTTAATAACACTGGACGATTCAGAAGGCGGTTTGGACATAGAGAGCAAGACAGCTACTTAAAGAGCTCTGAGGAGACATGAAGCCGGAGGTCAAGCAGTTATTTTTACCACTGACCCAGAGGAGACTAGCCAAAGGACATGATTTGTTCAGCAGGCAAAATTACAAGAAGAGCTCTCTGATGTACAGAGCAGTGAGGGAAAAAACGTGCTGTGAGTGAGTGCTGTGGTGTCTCATTTGGACTTGTAAAGAATATATCGAGTTTAAGTTTTTGTAACACTTGCCCTGATTGTGGAGAACTTTTGGAAGCTTTAAGAAACACAGGTGATAGCAATCAGCTGAGATTATTTTCACTTCCTTTGAGGGCTAGAAGGGAGGCTGCCAAGTTGATACTCTCTTGTAGTATGTCACATGATGCCATTCATGTTGTCGAAATTAAAGATCGTTGTTTTATCAGCACCTGAAACGAGCTTTGCCGAGGACCGTTTGAAGTCGGGCCACATATCTTTCAGAGAGAGTCCATACTTGAGGTTTGTTTCTTTTCCTGCCGAATCCCCAGACTTTTGGAAATGATAATGATTTTACCCAAAGAATTACAAACTTAAGCAAATAAACTGACACAGGGGGGAAAAAAGAGCTTGAAGCAAGCCAGGAAAATTAATGATCAATAAGAGATGGCGCTCTGCTTAGTACAAATATGCGGCTTTGCTTTCTACACCAGAAAAGAATTAAATTACCCGAGATTACAGAGTTCTTTTGTTTCATTGAGAGATATATCCGACAGTGGATGAACGCATGCCAAAAAGAGAACCCTGTAATTTCTCTCTTAAGCTCATAACTGTGGTATAGATCAGCATGGAAGACGGTCATGTAAAGAAAAAAAGTCTTGCATTCCCTTGGCTCAAGTTTAATACAGCTTGTAGTGTTAGTGGATTCTGACAATCTTTTTTTTTTTCTGCCAACCATCTGTTTAATACATGCCTTTGGAGAATTATAACCACACCAGTGAACTAGAGGTTTGATTTTGGTTTGGAAAAACTGTTACGGAGAGATAAACACACACCCAGGGGGTGGACGGAAAAAATTTGAAACCTAAAAATATATTAATATCAAAGACCTAATAAAGTGTACAACCACCTTTTGCCTTCAATCCTTCCTGGAATGCTGTCATTCACATCCTGAATGGTGTGGAGTGAAATTTGATCCCATTCTTCCCCAATAAAAAAAACAAAAAAAACATTGAGCCTATTGTGTCTTTAGGACAAAGGCAGTGGAAACCTATTTCTTAATCTATTTTGCTTAAGATCAGTGGTGTTTGGATCTAGTGACTAGGGAGGATGTGGGAGGCATTAGACTTTATCCTTCTGTTTATTTAACCATCAATTAATTAGCATTGCATATGGGGAGATTATCACCATTGAATATGGGAACACATTTAGCGGCAGTGGAGAGAGCACCTAGTATGGTAAAGTGGATTCTGCAATTTTGGAGGCTGGATATGTTCGAGTGAACTTGGGACAACTTTTTTGCTGATGTCATCCATGTTTTGCATATGATGTCATAACATTTCCTTACTTCAAGACATTAAATAATTGTACAGTTTTTGTGGTATATTCACCTTCAGCTGGTTATTTGACTATTTGACCTCTTTGCATGGGTGGTTAATGAACTCAAACATCATACACATATCTGATTAATCAGATATATGCACAACATAATGCGTAATATTACATTATATCTTGCACCTGACTCAGCTGTCATATACATTGATGTTAGTCAATTTGACTCTTTTAGTAGTTTTACTAGAATGCCATCTATGTCAAATTCATACCAGAAGTGGCTCTGAAAATTCTAAAAAAAAAAGTTTGATGGTAATTACTTTGGTCTTAGTGAAGTAGGCCAATTTTTATGCTACCCTGCACTCCCAGCTTAAACCCGTCAGTGCCTGAGTCTTGCTGGTCAAGCCTACCCCTCTGACCCTCTCAGCATGAGCATCTTGAATGAGCCAGCAGGAAACCTTATTAAAACCAGCTGCAGAGGTGGAGCTTTTGCAACCCGAGAGTGGCAGTTTGCCGCTTTATTTAATCTGGATGGGCTGGCCAGCTGAGTCTTATTTACTGACCTGGGGTCAGTGGCGGTGCTCCCTATCATAAGTCTTTTTCATGGGGGCACTTCTCTGTCCTGTAAATCCTGTGAAGTTCAAGCTTTAAAGGGACTTTGTGTAGCCTGGTTAAAACCAGACCATTCTCAGTTGTAACTGAGTTATGGTCTGGCAAAGCGTCATAGACAAATCATTTCCAGAGGGGCGTCACCAACGGACGTGGCGGATAGACCTAAACCCAATCAGAGCGATGAAGGAAATGACGTATGCAGAGCGGCGGAGACACATCCCCGAGTGTTGTTCTTTGCTCGGTTTTTAACAAAAAGGAAACGTTCAAATCGCTTAAAACAGACGCGATAGCTGATTCGAACAAGTGATGTCGACGGCGGCATCCATCTTTGTAATGTAGGCTACAAAATCTGCTTCAAAATTCCAGCGTTGTCCTCATCGTGTAAAGCCCGCCCCAACGTTTCTGATTGGTGCCTCGATTTCGGCGGATTGGAAATGAGCTTGAATGAGCTCTTTGCCAGACTAACTTTCAGAGCAAATCTAAATTTGCCGGAAGTTGTCTGGGTTTTCCCAGGCTAGACTTTGTGCACTTTATTGGGAAATACAATGCAGGGTTCTACAAAGCTACACTTGTATACAGAGAGCATTATATCTTCCTATGTTCAAACTTCAGTTCCCAGCATAGTTCCTTCAGAGCACATGGAAGTTGGCCCTTTGGTACATTTGTCAGCTACTTATAAGGGAGTTCTAGCAATTCTTCCTGACTATGCCAATACTGTTTTTTCCCATTTCTAGCTGTGATGTGCAAAGTTCGTTATGTAAATTTGAGGGAGTCCTACTGACTTTGAAACTTAACTTGATGAGCAACAAAATGTCTTCTAATAAAGCTTAGATACTTAAGGTGCGGTCACATTACTAAAACTTTGGCTAAATTTTGCATGCAAAAGAAGGTCCATTGTCCATGAAGCACTGCTTACTGATCACTTCCAAACCAAGCTGCTTTATATTGGTAAATTCTGTGAATTTGTGTCATATACAATGAATTATGGGTAGAGCTGTCAACGTTAATATATTAACGCATTCAATTAATTTTAAAATTCTTAACGCGTTAAAATAATTTTACACAAATAACGCTTTTAACCTCAAAAGATCCCACCGCTGTATGGCCAGATGATGTGCAAAGCATTTCCTTTGCACATCATCTGCATTTCCCGCATTTCCCGGCTTGATAAGCAAACCAGCGTCTTGCTAGTAAAGTTTTGATGGATGAGGATTGCAATCAAGGTAAAAACGATTGCGGTAACATACAGGAGTTGTACAGTAAGCATCCGTGAGTCCATTATATGAATGCACGCTCTCGATGCACTGATGGCACATTGTATTTACGCACAGACACATTTCACTACATTCAGGTTGTTTCCACACACATTCAGGTTAATGTTTTGATTTGTCATGTGTACGTTGCTGTGTTTAGTAATTCTGAATGGATCTGTGTACTGTAGTAGGTAATGCCATGCAGTCAGGTCATTGGATTAGTTTTTTTTTTTTTTTTTTTGCCATCTCCATGTGGTCCTGTTCTGTATTTCAACAAAAGGGTGGGATTAATCACAATTAAAATGTTTAATCTATTGACAGCTTTAATTATGGGTAAAAGCAAGTCTGTCAAGTGGTAATATTCCCTTGGCCATTATCCAAGCTTCTATGCTCCGGGACAAGGAAAGTCCTGGCCTTTACAACCTTCCTCCCTTCCTTGCGGGCCAGGCGTTAGCCACATGAGGTCTAAGAGCAGAGCACTAAGGTTAAGCTATAGGTAAATTTCTTTTTTTTTTTGACACAGCCCATAGGGAATACTTGCCTAGGGAGAATGTTTTAAACTGCGACCTTGGCTTGGCCCACCACTACCTCCAGAGGGAGCATATACATGAACTGCTAGAAATATTGTTTCTCACTATCCTTGACCCTAAATACTCAACCTCTAGGGAAACGCAGGGGAGCCTCAGCTCTACTACCCCAAAGCAATTGGGGAAAGTGCTCTCACCCTGCCTGGACTCGTCCAGGATCCAAAGACTCCCAGTACTAGATAAGGTCCCCAGTAAAAAGAAGGGATGCTATATGGCACATGCTATAGGTGGAACGGTTCACAAAATCCTCGGTTCGGTTTGTATCACGGCTCTGTGGTCACAGTTTTCGGTTAGATTCGGTATACATTGTTAATGTTTTTTTCCTTTTTAACACTTTAGAAAAAACATACATCAGCATAAAATATATAGCCTTATAACCTACCATTTACAGTATTTAAAAAATAAGTTATTCTCAAGGTCCTGTAATAAAAAAGCTGAAAGAATGAGGCAGCATGATCTTAGGAATAGACCTTATTGTGACACTGACAATCATAAATTAAATCTGTGAGATACTGATACAGGGAGATGTTGTTCATTTCAACAGGCTTTTCATTTATTTGTAAAAAAGTTTACAACTGTTGGCCTTAAACTAATGTAGCTGAGAACAAAAACACTTATTGTCAAATTTAAAGAATAGGCTTTCTTGTCACTGTCAGTGCCTACATTTATTACTGTGTTGTTTAAATGCTTTGGGTAGTGGAAGTTGTTCTTTCCTACCCGACTTTCCTTCGCTGTCAGTCGACACACTGGGGTGATGTCTCCGCAGATGAGCTAACATATTGGAAGCGTTGCCATTAGCATAAGCAACACGTGTTGCACAGTGCTTGCAAACTGTCTCGGTTTTATCCAGCACTTTCTTACCGCCGCCGTCGTCGTCATATGTAGCACTAAATCCAAAATGAGCCCACACAGTAGACCGAAACGATACTGTCTAGTGAATTGAACTCGGTGAAGTTGACCTGCTGCACTGCAGCACTCGACACTCCTAACATTGGCCTCAGTGCCAAATGATAAAAAACACGTCACGCTGCGCGTGGCCGGACCCGAACAATACACACGTGTCTCGAACCGTGACAAGTGAATTGAACGGTTCAGATTTTTTCATGAACCTTTCCACCCCTAGCACATGCTTCAGACGCCATCACCAATCACGCTGATGGCGTTCCCCATAGTGTCAATCCAATATTCAGTGTTGAAAGGGAACTGTTTTTGCTTGCTGTATAATGCATAATTTGTCATGTCAAATCAGATTTTGACCAATCAAATTATTTTTAGAATAAGTATGTCTCCTTCACCAAAACCACCTGCCACTGACAAGTAAGTAGCATGTTAATGTAGCAGTGACGTAACTACAGCCTATTGGCTTATTAAAGGGGGAGTATCCTTTCAGTATGCCCCACCCAAACATCTTGTTTCAATAGGTATGTCAACGCAAGAAAGAAGCGATTTGATTGGGTCTATAAGAAGCCTGCTGGGCAAACCAGCCCACTGCACAATGCTAATCTTGTTTCCATTTTCTTCTGCTCTTTCTTGGAAGTTGATATATTCTGACCAACTTGCTTTTGCCTTCTTTCCTAGGAAGTGTGTAGAGAGCTCTGGTGCCTTAGCAAAAGTAATCGCTGTGTCACCAACAGTATCCCTGCCGCAGAAGGAACCCTGTGCCAGACCAGCACCATTGAAAAGGGGGTAAGTCAGTGTGCCATGAGGGAGAAAACTTTATACAATGGGAAAGGTTATGAAATGGCAGGTAATGGGAAACGGACTCCTCATGGCTCCTGGTATGGTGTCTGGCCATGCTCTCATTGTCCCAGATATGGGAATAAGAAAGCCTATTCCCAGTGTTCACTCATGCAAGCAGCGTTTGGGTCATCAGTTTTCTGCCGGGCCAGGTTAGAGAGACAGTTTTAACAAAGATTAGGGTGGCCATTGTCCTCGCTCGTAGGATGGCTCAAGAGGAAGAATAGAAGAGGACCACGAGCTGTCGATCTTTGTTACCATTCGCTCAATGGATCTATTTACTGCCAAGCTCTTGTGCGTTGTCTTGGACAAGCAGCGAGCCCCAGGTTGAGCCGCTGTTTTTTTTTAGCGGGTGGCGTACTTATGTCTGCCCCTGGCTGGGTCAGCATCAAAGGAATACGAATGTCAGCCATTTCTCACCCAGCGTGTAATGGAGTGGAGGCCCTGCCAGCTCCAGAAAGTTGAGAAATGGAAAGGCAGGGAAAAAGGAGTGACCACACATGCTACTGAATGTGCTATCCACCATCAGCACTGATAATGAATTTGCTACATCGTAAAGAATGGCTGTCGAACACTGCAGGAAGCACAATGCCAAAAAGCCGCCCATTATAAGGCAGAATTCATTCTTAATCTGCTACTTAGGACTCTCTTCCCCTTTTTTTTTCATCTGATGTGACAACATGAAATACAAATTTAATAAATAACTTTCTTAATAAATGCCCTCATTTATCAGTGCATATTATTTTTTTATTTATAAAATTAAAAAAATCCACAATCTTTTAGTAATAAATAATATATGTAATAGTGATATATAATATACTTTTAGTGAGATAGTGAGACTAGCCAATTAGTCTCGCGTAGCCAGACCTTCAGACTGACGGCAGAAGGTCTGGACTCTATCGCAGCTTTCATTGGCAAAGGACCGCCCAAGATAATAGACCGGCGTGCATCTAATAAATGATTAATTCAGGAACATTGTGCAAGTTTACTGCAACACTGGAGCCGCGAACTTCACATTCTTTTGAAAATCCTGTATTTAGTTGATCCTAGTAAGCGCTCATTCTCACAGTTGTAAACTCTAAAGCGTTCTTCTTCTATGAGGGGCTTTGGCATCACGGCATTAGTTTCCAGGCGGACCGTTAAAGAACATCACACACGTCTCACAGACATTCATCCAACTAGATGACGACTTCGAAAATCGAAAACCTGAGGCTGAAACTACTAGCCAATAAACCAACCAATAACCATCCATTTTGATTTTATCTGCATCAGCCAACAATCATGTCCACTGGGCAGATTATTAAAAAATGTGTGACTCTTGTATCAGTTCTATTATCTGCTGACTGGCATGTCAAATTATAATAAACAATTTCTGTATTCAAAATGTACCCCTTACTGCACACCCCCCATTTTGGCAAGTGTGGCATAAATGACATACCCAAAATAAAAGGGTTGCTGCTCACAAGTCATTCTGAATACCGGTAGACACATAATCAACATATATTTAGAAAGTCAACACTGTCAACAGAGTTTACAGTTCAAGACTCATAATTACTCAGACTGTTATTAATATGGAGATAAATAAGCTCAAACATTAAAAATAAAAATATTAAGAATATAATTTTTAAATGTATAAAAATATGTTGAACAACAATAATTTGGGGCTGTCGGCAATCTTTGCACGTGAAGGGGTTAAATTTAAACGAATACAATTTAAAATATGAATCAATATGAATTATTTTATTTTGTACATTTTAAACATTCAATAATCTGCTGAAAGTCTTGTCAAATTATAACAATTTATATATTCAAATTAAATATTTGTTACTTCAAAACGCTTTACTTTCAAAGCATGCATATGATACAGTACCTTAAAATGATGCTGACGGAGGCAGCTCACTAGGCTTCAGAACAGAGCGTCTGTTAGATAAGACATTCTTTAAGAGGTTATTTTGGACCTGCCTGCTAGTGTCTTAGCACACTACCCTGATTTCAGACACTGGAAGCTGAGGACACAGCCTTTCCCTTGCCAAGTTCTTCCTGTCTGTGAACGAGAGAAATAAATAGAGTCTGAGAACAAGAACAACCATCCAGACAGAGGGAGAGAGTGAGAAAGAGACAGAACTTAACCTACTGACACAGTTGCACAGTGACGACAGTTTCCAGCGTCTCCAATCCTTATCCTCATGTCCCCTGGGTTGGATGGATTATGAGGTCGAGTGTTGAGAAGATTTCACATGGTCCTGAAGCATTACAATGCCTTGAGTCTGTTTTTATTCTGGAGTAGATTCAGATTAGGAACAGTAGGTGAATGCGCTGTTTACACAATACAAGATTTGGCCAAGAGATTTCTCTCAAATGGCAGCTGCAGTTAACTTATTGGACATGCTAATTACAATCAGAACTGTAATAATGAGCAAGGGAATGCTCATGGATTAATAATGTAAGAGGAAATGGACCAATAATAGCTACTAATAAAAATACCAGTTTTTTTTTTTTTTTAAAGAATATTTCACTCAAAAATTATGTCATTATTTACTACTTGTATTTCAAGATGCATTTCACCAGATGAACGATGGCAAATGGCATTGGAGTTAATAACATCAGAGTGTCCACAATAAATAAATGGAAAAAATAATTTTAAAATCTATCTTAAAACACATATGCCACGTGTTTGTTTTAGTTTAGTTTTTTTTTAAATCTACTCTTGGTATTCATGTTGGCCTCTGATCTTATTTTTAACATTTTTATTCTATTTTCAAAAAAAGTTAATGATGTTTTATTACATTTTAGAATGTCATGTTGTGTAACCATCAAGTAAAATCTTGATGGTTTTCCATATATCTTTAAATAAATATCATTACAATTTTGGAGAATCGCACCTCATGACATTTTACAACATTGAAATAGCCTTGCCATGTCAAAAAATGTCAAATTATCTGTTATTATAAAAGACTTTATTATCTTGACACGCGGCAGCAGTTGTACAGTATCACCCTGACATTTTTTATGTATTTTTGAAAGAAATTAGTAGATAGGACAAAAATATCATGTCATTGACCCATATGTCCTATCGATCATGATATATCAGTTTGAATATGCAGAAATGCCATTTCAGTAGATTTTGTATTGACATTTGTAGAATTTGTACAATTTACTATTGAAATGCACTGTCAATCATAGACACCGATCCCAAAATGGCCGACCACCTGTGTAAAATCATATACTCCATATTCTCATTGTAACCAATCATAAAATTGACTGACATTTAGGAACGCTTGTCCTTTCAGGGTTTTTTTTTTTTTTGCACAATGATAAATTGCATTTTAAGTAATTGGCCCGAACCCAGAGTAACTCCCCCCGTATCCCTGGCTAGTCAAGTCAAGTGACCTGTATTTATAGTGCTTTTAACAATAGGACTGTTTCAAAGCAGCTTTACAGTGATACTAGGAAATTAAAGTAGCAGAGATTGTTTTGGCTTTACAGCAGCTTCACTTCCATTGCAAAGATCATTAGTTATTAACTTAGGGGGCGCTAACACGACACCGTTCTAACAGAAAACCTTTAATGTGCTCCGGCCGCTCATTTGCACAACAGTGCCTGGTGGCTCGAGAACGCAAACCTTGAATATATATGTGCGCAGGCGTGTACAAATTGACCTAAACAAATTACTTGTCTGGCCCTAAAAATTTATAATACAGAATTATTCATCACTTCCGAGTAGCCATGTGAACCGGAACTATTTTGACGTTTTATCAGTACAGAGGTAAAGGGAAGGAGGCCTTCACAGGGGAGAGACTAGTTGACACTTCAGGGCTGCGTTGTCGTCGTGTCCAGGCGCAGGTCCTTCATCAGATCTGGATCCGGTGGACTGCCGTAAACCTCGGGATAAACAGAGAGACTAATATTAGCGTAGACGCCATCCTTCTTATGATGTAACGAGTACATCAGGATTTATGGGGAGTGTTCCCTGTTCCGACTGACCTAATCTATGCAGCCTAACATTGAATTATAGAAGTTTATAATGTGTTATGTGTATGCTAAGTCAAAGAGATGTGTTTTTAGTCTAGATTTGAACTGACAGAGTGTGTCTGCTTACCGGACAATGTTAGCAAGACTGTTCCAAAGTTTTGGTGCTAAATAGGAAAAGGATCTACCGCCAGCAGTCGATTTTGATATTCTAGGTATTATCAACTGGCCAGAATTTTGAGATCGCAATAGACGTGAAGGACTATAATGCGTTAAGAGCTCGCTCAAGTACTGGGGAGCTAAACCATTTAGTGCTTTGTTAGTAATCAGCAATATTTAACAAATTTTACAATGTTTAATAGGCAGCCAATGCAGTGTTGACAGAACCGGGCTAATATGGTCATATTTCCTGGTTCTGGTAAGAACTCGAGCTGCTGCGTTTTGGACCAGCTGTAGTTTATTTATTAAGCGTGCAGGGCAACCACCCAGTAGAGCATTACAATAATCTAGCCTTGAGGTCATGAACGCATGAACTAATTGTTCTGCATTTGTCATTGAGAGCATATGATGTAATTTAGATATATTTTTAGATGGAAGAATGCGGTTTTACAGATACTAGAAACGTGACTTTCAAATGAAAGATTGCTATCAAAGAGCACACCCAGGTTCCTAACCGATGACGAAGGTTTGACAGAGCAGCCATCAAGTGTTAGACAGTATTCTAGATTATTATGTGAGGAAGTTTTTTGTCCAATAATTAGAATCTCTGTTTTTTCAGAGTTAAGTTGTAGGGAATTACAAGTCATCCAGTTTTTTATGTCAGCTATGCATTCCGTTAATTTTGTGAATTGGTAAGTTTCGTTAGGGCGTGAAGAAATATAGAGCTGAGTGTCATCGGCATGACAGTGAAAATTAATGCCATGGTTCCTAATGATATCTCCCAAGGGTAGCATGTACAGAGTGAACAGCAGCAGTCCTAGTACTGAGCCTTGTGGTACACCATACTGAACTTGTGATCGATAAGACATGTCTTCATTTACTGTTACAAAACTGATAACGGCCAGATAGCTATGATTTAATCCATGCTAATGTAATTCCACTAATGCCAACATTTTTGCAAGTCTATTTAAAAGAATGTTGTGGTCAATAGTATCAAATATGCAGCACTAAGATTGAGTAACACTAATAGAGAGATACAAACACGATCGCAATGATAAGAGCAAATTATTTGTGACTCTAATGAGAGCTGTCTCAGTACTATGGTACGGTCTAAATACTGACTGAAAGTCCTTGCAGATACAATTTCTTTCTAAAAAGGAACATAGTTGTGAGGAGACTGCCTTTTCTAGTATATTTGACAGAAAAGGTAGATTCAAGATCGGCCTGTAATTGACTAATTCTGTAGGATCAGAATTTTATCCTGATTTTTAACAAGCGGTTTAATCATAGCCAGCTTAAAAGTTTTTGGTACGTATCCTAATGACAAAGATGAATTAATGATAGTAAGAAGAGGATCTATGACCTCTGGAGGCATCTCTTTCAATAGCTTAGTCGGTATAGGGTCTAACATGCATGTTGTCGATTTAGATGATTTAACGAGTTTAGAAAATTCTTCCTCTCCTATAGAAATGAATGAATATGGAATGTTGAATGAATGAAAAAATTTCCTCAGGGAGACTACAATGCACTGTCTGATGCGATACTGTAGTAGACTAGCCTAGAAATCTAGACGCACCCTAGCGGCAGCAAATTTTATTTTGCAGCCAGGGTTGTCTAGCAACTCTCCATTGGCTTTCGAGCTGGAAAAACCAAGCTCTAGTCAGGCCAATCACATAGTGTATAGAGTCGACGGGCGGGCTTAACATAATGATGACAGAGTTGCGACGGTTCCCTGCTACTTGAAAACAAAGAATGGCTGCTGCTGCTGGCGAACAGCGGCCTTTCGAATCGGCTTTGGCCGCGACTCTGGAGGACTTAGAGTTAATCTTTTCTTTGAGAAAAGAACAAAGAACGGCACTTAAGTCATTCTTAAAAAAGGAAGATGTGTTCGTAGTTTTGCCGACCAGATACGGCAAAAGTTTAATCTATCAACTAGCTCCGCTGGTGGGAAAACGCTCTGGGGTGCGTTTCCCAAAAGCATCGTTGGCCAACTATGATCGCAATTTCCATTGAACTCTATTGGTAACGACGGAACTTGCGGCCATAGTTGGCTTTGGAAAACGCACCCCTGGTTGGTTGTAGCGCTATCCTATTGCGTGCAGAGGGAATTTGAAAGACAATCGTTTATCCCTCTCCTTGGATTGAGCTCTACGAATGGGGAGTTCCAGGCTAGTAGTATACGGTTGCATAGTTATAATTTTCTCCCTGATATTATCAATCTTGTAAGTAAAGAAGTTCATAAAGTCATTACTGCTGTGCTGCTTGGAAACGTCTGGGGTTGAAGCTTTATTTTTCGTTAATTTAGCCACTGTTTCAAATAAATACCTAGGGTTTTGTTTATTTTCTTCTAATAGGGTTGAAAAATAAGCAGATCTAGCAGTTTTTTAAGGCCTCTCTGTACGCAATCGTGCTCTCTTTCCATGAATTGCGAATAAACTCTAGTTTTGTTTTCTTCGAGTTTCGCTCCATTTTTCTGGCTGCTCTCTTAAGGGCCTGAGTGTACTCGTTGTACCACGGCGTTGGACTATTTTCTTTAATCTTCTTTTAAGCGCAAAGGAGCAACTGTATCTAAAGTGCTGGAAAAGAGAGAGTCAAAAGTTTCTGTCTCAACAAGCTAGGATAGGAACCAGCTGAGAGTCATGAATAAAGATCTGTTTATTTTTGGTGGATGTGCACTTGCAAGTTTCCAATAAAAAAAAGAAAGAAAGATGGGGGTTGTGGGTGGTATGTGGTGTGGTCACTCACCGGCAGAAACATAAGTCAGCGCCTATGGTTTCAATAGATTTGAGAGCTATGACATGGGGGGAAATTTTAGAAGAACTAATTTCTCCATATTTGTGTGTTAGTGGTGTTATCAGGGTGAATGTGTGGCGTTTGGGACATGGCCGCAGAGCGTGGACGGAAGCTGGGGACCTTGGACAACCTGGGGCGAGTGCAGTCGTACCTGCGGTGGTGGCGTCTCCTCGTCCATGCGACATTGTGACAGCCCAGCGTAAGTAGGCAAAGTAAGCCAGAACAAAGCTGAACAGGTCCCTATTTGGTCCATCTCACTACTGCTCACACTAGTCTCATTACTGTTTCACACTAGTCTCATTACTGTTTCACCTTTCTTCACAAAGATGTGCACAATTCAATCTAGATTGATTACACATATTCGGTTGGGACATAGTATTAAGGTGCGTTCACATTAACCGTTGTTCTGTGATTTTTATTTTATTTTTATTTTTTTCTTTGGGGGGGGGGGGGCGGCTGGTGGAAATCCTGTCATTTCAATAGGAATCCACGCAATTTTGAATTTTACTTCAGGGCGAAAGACTTTGATTTGCAAAGTTGGTTGTGTAAATTCGCTGTGTTGGCCAACAGAAAGCTGCTTGATTTGAAAGTGATGTCTGTGTGACTTGTGCTTCATATATCAGTACACTATCTATTACCATTTCAGTCATATCTGACTCTTGGTGATTAAATGGCCATCTCTTGCCATACACGAGAGACTGTCCATGCATTTTCTTGGCAATGATTTTTCCCAACCCTCCCCATTACATGGTTTGGGACTCACACACACACACACATTCACACCTGAAACCGCACTATTGACTATTGACAATAAACAATGGACCTTTTTTGCCCAAAGGACCTAATGTGACCGCACCTTTAGCGTTTACTGTTGCAGTTTCAGGTACACTACCAGTCAAGTTTGGAATAATTAATTACTCAATGTTAATTAATTACTTAATGTAAATAGTTGCATTTATTTGATCAAAATACTGTAAAATTAGTAATATTGTGAAATATTACAATTTAAAACAACTGTTTTCTATTTTAATATATTTTAAATGGAATTTATAAGAACCAGCATTCAATTAGAATGATTTCTGAAGGATCATGTGACACTGAAGACTGGAGTAATGATGCTGAAAAATCAGCTTTGATCACAAAAACAAATTGCATTTTAAAATATATTCAAATAGAAAACAGTTCTTTTAAATTGTAATAATATTTCACAATGTTACTCTTGCAGTATTTTTGATCAAATAAATGAAGAGCATAAGCAACTTCTTTCAAAAACAATAAAAAAAATGTAATTATAACTGGTAGTATACTTCAACTGCAGAAAAGGTGTAGCAATCCCAGGCACTGTATTAAAAATGTTTTTTATATTTTACTAAAATATTAAATGTTGAGAAAACCCTTACTCAATTTGCCAAGCAAATGTAATGATGATTGTTGGTCCAAAATTATTTTTTACTTTCGACTTTTTGCAGTTTTCTTGCCAGTTTCTCTAAACTTTTCATAGGTAGCCACAGGAGCTCAAAATAGGTTTGGATTTAGATGGAGTTTAGGTTTCATTCCCGGCGGTTGCGGAAATGTCTATCCTCACACTCTCGCTGCAGACAGTGGCGGGAGTGTGGCCGGTGTAATATGTAACACCTGTGTAAGATGATCGGTCCTTAAAACCTGGCTAGCCGGGAGAAAGGAAACCCAAGCACTTCAAGCCAAGCTGCCCTGGAAAGCATTCATTAAGAGTGGCCCTGAGAAAACAGCACAACCAGCCGCCAGACGGCACGTAGGGAGGCAGAGGAAGATGGCCAGAATCACCTTAGGCTTGGCAAACCTCATTACGCTGCCCTCAAGGGTTAAAATAACCTGCTGAGAAATGGCCAAACAGCTTAGTTGTTCACTGATAGAGACCTGGATACATACATCAAGTATTTATAAGGCAATGAGGAAAAAGTGGATACTGCCCTGCTGGTCATAACATCCTGAACAGACACTGGAGATAGTACAAATGTCTTGAGCTCTCTGTCAAACAAACACAAATGGAAACTGCTTTTCATATTTGCTTGCGGGTTGAGGAGTTTTCTGAATTTCCATTTATGGACCTGAAGTCAACCTTGATAGAATACGTGGATACTCGAGGGGCTTATTAGGGGCCCTGTTATTAATTATGGGGATTATTGTTTATAGAATTGGAAATCACTGGCCTGAGGGGCATCTTGCTCTTGAACAATGGAACTCCATGTAAGGCTGAAATTGTCGCAGTTCTGCAAGAGAGAGGACCCAGACGCAGAATGAGCGGTGGTGATGTTTTATTGACAAGACTGTTGACAGGGCACAGCAAGTGGAGTGAGGCAGCACCAGGTGGGATGATGGTGAGGAAGATAAGGCAGGAACACAAGGAACCAGAGACTTGATGATCTCTTGGATGTAGCACCAGTCTTGCAGCCAGGCAGAGGCTCACAGAGCGAGGGCCTTGACACTTGAGAAACTGACTGCTATACCTCGGTCTAGAGAACACAAGACTCACAATGAACAAGACAAGACACAACAACAAGAAGATAAAGCAAGACCAGAGAGAAGATAATAAATGAAACAAGGGGCAAACTAAAACCTGATGTAAATAACTATGGCTAGATAAACAAAAGAAAAGAAAAGAATGATATTTTTTTTATAGAAATCATAGATTTTTTCTGATTCTACTTTGAAATCTAGTTAAACAATATGGTTTGGATATATTTAAAGGTGAAGTGCATAATTATTGTGCTCCTATTGGCTCAGAGCAGAATTGCAAATATAATATATCAGCAATGACTGCCTCTAAAGAAACCACTGACATGCATTTAAGTGGGTAAATATAAGAGGATTATTTCAGAGTTTGTTTTGAGTGCCACACTACCTGCTGCCAGCTGGTGGCGCTATAACAGTGACCCACAATAGCCATATCCATGTAATCAGCTGCTATGACCGAACATACAACCCCAATTTTATTTAAATAAGACAATGCACTTGGAAGATATGAGACTCTTCCCGTTTCACTTTTTTGCCAGGAATTTTTTCATACAGTATATCATGGCAACAAAGTTGAGGATATAACAAATCTGTGGCAATATAGACCTAGTTTGGTGCAAATCACAATAAATCAAAAATCCTATTTAAAAATTCATAGCCTGCGATTTAAAAAAAAAATCAACATTAAAAGCAAAATGGCTTACTTATATCTGTCTTCGCACGATGAATTGGGATAGAAGGAAGTATTTTAATGTTGAAAAAAATGACACACATTATCTTTAAACTGATCTGAGATCAGCACAAAAGAGCAAAGTCATCTCAGATCTGAAATATGGCTTTGTGTGTGATCTGATGACCCAATCGGATCTTTAGTACACTAAACTTCAATCTGGAAAAATATGCTTGCATGTAGAGATTGTGGTTACCGGACCATTTGCCTTCCTCTGTAAAAGCAAATGCAGTACAGATGCTGTCCGGTGTTGAATAGAATAGTGTGTGGATGCATTTTTTACATTGATTCCTTGTCTCTCATGATGGTACCTCATGAGTTTTTTTATTCAAACTCTTTCAGGCCGACAGGCGGAGGGAAGTACTGTCTCGGAGAGAGGAAGCGCTACAGATCGTGCAACACTGACGTGAGTTTTTTTTTTCTTTCTTTTTTTTCTGTAATCAGAATGATTTTGATTTATGCCGATTATGATTTATTGTATTATGACAATCCATGTATTTTCATTTAAAAGTTTGAAATTCATACATTTTTTTTAATAGCTTTAGTGCTCATGTGTTTTAGCTTTGAGGTTTTCTAGATTCTAGTCTAAATCTAAAAATGACAAAATTCCATTCACAGATACTTTTCTCTCCTGGTGATTAATGTTGGACTTTTCATTTTCATTTCAAATGCTCTCTAGAATGAGCAGCTAATCATGGTTTTAGGACTGTGACTATTTTACAAAAATGGAAAAAAGGGGCAAGCCTTTCAATATGTCCCGTCCAGACTTCCTGATTCAAAGGAAACGTCACCACAGGACTTTATGGGGTTTTTAAGGTGAAAATTGAGCTTGTTCTGCATCCTTGCTACCACAAATCTTAAAAATAACAGTTAAGCACAAGCAACGAATGTGTACTTTGGAAAACAAACAGCACTCCCTTGCACTGAAAATGAAAGTGTCTTGTCCAACACAAATGTGTTGTGGATATGGACTATTGGTGACATTTGGTCAGATTTGGGGAGCTTTAGACAGCAGCCCGGCGCTGATTCAGTGCTTATAAAACAACAACCCCATCACAAATGTAATGTAATTGGTTCTTTGACCTCCTGGAATCAAATGAATCTTTTTGAAGGAGACAACCAAGGGTTGAACACCACTCTCTGGCTGTTTATGTGGGGCATTCCAAGGTCTGGATTTATTATGGCTGTGGCTTTGAAATTATTAAGTCATTGAGGATACGGCCCCCCTATGGCTCTGGTTCCAGCCACGGCTATTGTTCAGTACCAAGCAAAGGTCTGCTATCATTTGTTCTACTTTTCAAAACAATGAGCTAATCCGCACTCCTTCACTCACTGCTGACTCCATGATCCGCCAGTTTACATGGAGACTAGGGTTAATAACAATGCTGCGATGGAAAAAGGCCAAGTCGAGTCGCATATTAAAGTTTAATTGGCTTCAGGACAATAATGTTTAAATAACAATGTGAGTTCATTACACTATGCACATACATTATTTGTTTTTTTTTAGAGAGGGGATTTTTTTTGTAATTACAAGAGGCAAAAAGACATTAGTTTGATAGAAAAACAGTGAAATATTAAAACACTTTAACATTTCTATTTGAATATATATTAAACTGTAATTTATTTCTGTGATCAAAGCTGAATATTCAGCATCATTACTCCAGTCTTCAGTGTCACATGATCCTTCAGAAATCATTCTAATTTGATAATTTGATGCTCAAGAAACATTTAGTATTGTTGTCTATGTTGAAAACAGTTGTGTAGCTTGCTTCACATTTTTGTGGAATCCAAGATATATGATTTTTACTCAGGATACTTTTTATGAATAGAAAGTTCAAAAGAACAGCATTTATTTGCAATAGAAATCTTTTGCACCCATGTAAAAGTCTTTACTGTTACCTTTGGTCTATTTAATACATCCTCGCTGAATAAAAGTATTAATTTATTTTAAAACAAATCTTACTGACCCCTAAGTTTTAAATGGTAGTATGTGCTATATTCCTGTGACTACTGTCTTGGTTACTATTGTAACCTCAGTTCCCTGATGGAGGGAACAAGATGTGGTGTCGAATGTTGACACTATGGGTCACACTTGGGAGCCCTGATACTTCAGAAAAGGCCAATAAGAATTGGCGAGAGGAATTTGCATGCGCCACTCCCCCGTACATACGGGTACAAAAGGAGCTGGCGTGCATCCACTTATTCAGGTTTAAGCTTAGGAGCCGAGAGTGTGTCCCGGCCATTCAGAGGGTAGTTCAGCATTGTGGCAAGAGGGGACACCAACCTCAATCAGGGAACAGAAGTTACTATAGTAACAAAGATGTTCCGTATCTATCAGTCACTTGGTGTCAAACATGGTGTCAAAAGCTAGGAGTCCCTGTAGAAAATGACACAACTGCTGATCTGAGTTACGAGGTGGCCATAAAACCCCTGTGTGCCGGGTAACAAGTGCATTCGCGACATCATAACCTACCCTGCGCCCCACGTAAGCCGTGTAGTTTTTTGTACCCATCGGGGACTGAAGGGCAGTACTTGCAATGAGAAATGGTCGCTTCAGCCGGACTTCCTTGACCTTTTCTGTTTTTCTGGGAAGCACATCAGTTAGCTAATAGACTCCACTTCAAAGAATTGGCCTCCCTCGTAGAGGGGGCTCTAGCCTGAGTGATGGTGTCTTACACTGTTGGTGATAGCCCACGCAGGTTTTCCACTTCCTGTCCAGGGGCCAGATGTGGAGGTTCCAGAGGTCTGGGAGCAGGTGCCAAATTGTGCCCCGTCCTTCCTCAGGGGGATTTGCCAGGCAAGGGCTGTCGTCAGGAGCCTGAGCTCCAAAGACCAAGTCAGGGTAGGCCAGTGCGTCCGTGCCAAGGGAGGCCTCGGTCAAGGAATACCTCAGAGGGCAATTGGAGCATTCCTAGGAAGTGAACAGATCTGTGCTTCGCTGAATCAACTCCAGATCAGCTGTACCACCTGGGGCTCCACTCTCCATGGAGCATCAATTGCCGTGACAGCATGTCTGCTGCACGATTGAGCTCGCCTGGTGGTTTTGTATGAAACCGTCAGAGTGTTGTCTGTCCAGACCAACACGTGCTTGTCTTGGATCAATGGCTGAAACCTCCGCAGGGCCAGCAAAACCACAAGCAACTTGAGGCAATTGATATGCCAGCACTGACAAGGTCCTGTCCAGGAACTTGAGGCTGTGCACCTGTTGCATTCAGCTGCCCAGCCTTTCTTGAATGCATTTGTTTCCATCCCGAGAAAAGAGATGCTCTGCACTGACAAGAGCTTACTCTTTACTCAGTTGACCTGAAGTCCCAATCGACTGAGGTGTTTTAGCACCAGGTCCCTGTGTGTGCACAATAGATCTGAAGAGTGAACTAGAATCAGCCAGCCAGCCAGCGAGATAATTGAGAATGCCCACTTCGCTTAACGAGGCAAGGGCAGCCTCTGGGACTTTTGGTAAGACGCGAGGAGACAGGGGCAGCCCAAAAGGTAAGACCTTGTACTGATATGCCTGATTCTTGAAGGCGAATTGAAGAAACGGTCTGTGTCGAGGAAAGGTCGAGACATGAGAGTATGCATCCTTCAGGTCTATCGCCGCAAACCAATCATTTTGGTGAACGCATGTCAGAATGCGTTTCTGAGTCAATATCTTTAACTGGAGCCTGTGCAAGGCCCGATTTAAAACTCACAGGTCTAGGAATGGTCGTAACCCTCCGCCTTTCTTCAGTACAATGAAGTAAGGGCTGTAGAAACCCTTCTCCATTTCAGCTGGAGGGAATCTCTTTTGCGCCCTTCGCCAATAGGACTGCAATTTCCGCATGCAGACAAGGGGTGCATTTTCCTGCTACTGAGGTAAAGAGGACGCCATTGAACCTGGGCAGGCATCTGGCAAACTGAATGGCATAGTCGAGTCTGATTGTCCTGATAAGCCAGCGTGACGGGTTGGGAAACTTTAGACAGGCTCCCAAACTCCGCACGAGTGGCACCAGAGGAGCAATCGTGTTTGACATATGGTGGGGCGGTGCAGCAGAGCATTGTCCTCCATGTCGGGAAGCTGTGCGTCCCAATTCTGTGGCTGTAGGTGTACTGGAACACCTACCTTGCTCTGCAAACCCCAACTGGAACTGTCGGGTGAAGAAGCTTTGCGTCCTCTGAACACGCCACAGTGACCTGTGTGGGGTTTTGTGTGTGCTGCAACCAAACATGAGGAGGCGAGGGGCTCACCTCCATCACGTCCGGTCTGCAGGCTGTGTGACCAGGAAGTGCGGAGTCTGTTCTTTCTCTGAAAAGGTGGCGAAACAAAAACAAGGAAACTAAGGATTCTCCATCCGGCCCTCCTCCAGGCGAAGCAGCGGTGCGTTCACTGGCTTCAACCGGATTCAAACAACATCCAAGTGTTTGGATACCACAGTTGGTTGTGTTTAAGTTCAAACTACATTAAAACACTCTGAAACTACTTAAGAAATTTTGTCAATTAAAACTCAGAAGAATGAGTTTTATCTAGAGCTCTGCACATCGGCCTGTGTGGGACATAAATATCCATTTCTCCAAATGAACCATGAACCTTTTTGTGCAACCATGTCTGGAGTTTACAAGAAAGGGTTAATACCAAAATTAAAGATAATATGGCTGGCTCTATTTCCCACATAACTCTGGCCACCTCAAAAAATCATATACCTACTGTATGGTGATATAGTGGTGGTAGCACCATGCTATAGGACTTTTCATCACCAGTGACTGCTGGGAATCTCTGACACTATTTAATATTGCTCAGTGTATGATTTGTAATTGAATAAAATGATGGTATTATAAATACTTTGTAAGATAATATAATATACATTAGAGTAAATGAGAGTACCATCTGAATGCTTTTACAAGGCCTCAACGGATCATTCATTTGCAGGCTTGTCCAGCAGGATCACGTGACTTTAGGGAGAAGCAGTGTGCCGATTTTGACAACATGCCTTTCCGTGGGAAGTACTACAACTGGAAGCCATACACTGGAGGTAAGTTCCCAGCCCGCAACACAGAACGACGCGCTACAGAGGGAGCCGCTTTCTCCCACAGCCTTCCCAAAGTCTGGGCTCCAGTGACCGTATACATACTGGCTTGCTGTGTGTACCCTGCTAACACCAACAGTGTGAAAGTCTCTTTGATGGTCTGAAAATTCTTTAGATTCCCGATAGAACACCATGTATCGCTAGTCTCTCTCTCTTTCTCTCTCTCTCTCTCTCTCTCTCTCTGTGTGTGAGTGTGTGTGTCTGGGCGTGTTTTGGTATACTTGTAAGGACCAAATGTCCCCACAAGGATAGTTAAACCTGAGATTACCTACATTGTGTGGACCGCTGGCTGGTCCTCACAAGGGAAATTGATTAATAAACATAATAAATTGTGTTTTGTCTTTAAATGCAGAAGGTTTTGTGTGATGGGTAGGTTTAGTGTAAGGGGATAGAATATACAGTTTGTACAGTATAAAAACCATTACATCTATGGAGGTCCTTACAACTATAGCAAAACAAACGTGTGTGTGTGTGTGTGTGTGTTTGACTGTGTATGTATTCAAGTCTCTCAGAGAGGTCAAATCTGCAAAAGAACGAGTAACGATTAGGCCTATCAATTTAATTAGTTCAGTGATAATTCTGTCATGTAATTCCAAACCTTAATGACTTTCTTCTGTGGAACATGTTTTGTTTTTATATCCATACAATTAAAATCAATGGGGTCTAATGTTGTTTTGGACCCCATTGACTTTTATTGTATGGGCAAATATTTGGTGTTCCATAGGTAAATAATATATTTTCTTATTTTTTGGTCAACTATCACACACATTAATTGCAAAAATTATTAGTAAAATAATAATAAAAAATTATAAATATGAATTTAAATATATATGATCACACAATCAGGAGTATATATATACACAGTATATATGCTTTTGTCTGCCCTATGTAATGTTTTTAAATGCTCTGCAACTTTTTTCACAAAATAATTGTGATTTATTTGTTTAATTCACCGGCATGAAATACAATTACATTTTATAACAGTAAATATCAAACCTCAACCAACATCGCCCCAATCTTTGACCCCTTTTTTGTTTCATTGGGTTTTTCTCTGACACATTTTCTGACAGCTTTGAAAAAGTGCAGCCGGAAACCCAGTGGGAAGGGTGTATTTCTTGTTTACAACAAAATGGCCCGAACCCAATAAACAAAGAAAAACGGCGAGAGATCAAGAGGCATTTCCAAAACATTCTGACGGGAAGTTCACAGTCGACTCAATCATCTCCTTATCTCACTGCCCTGTAATAAGAATTATCATTACCAATTGTTTGGCTCTTAAAACTCATTTTGGAGATGAACTTCACTTGTAAAGTCTGCGATAACCTTTGTCGATGTCTCCATGATTTTTGTTGGCAGCTGTGTTAATCTCTCCCCGTGTCTGTGCAGTAATGATGTCAGGCAGAACATTCAGATTCCACTATGAGTAATGCCTCTCGTGTGCTCGAGTGCTTTGACTGGATTGTTAATATCAACAAAGGCATAAAAGAAAACCGTGGGCCCCGTCTGAGAGCCCTGGCTCGAGACAGTTGCAAGAAAAGCAGTCTGCGAATTACTTATCAATGCACTGGTGAGGCGAGAGGCTCTTTTATTCCGTATAGATTTTTGGTTTATCGTATGACATAAATCGTGGCCACCTCTTAGACACTTCTGGGGTGTAAAGGAGTTCTCGGGGACCTTGGGAACAATCAATAACCTGATAAAAAGTCCCATTGGTGTTCGAGAGCTGTTTGACGATAAACTGCTTGTTTTTCAGGTGGAGTGAAACCGTGTGCTTTGAACTGTCTGGCTGAGGGCTACAACTTCTACACCGAACGTTCCCCCGCGGTCATCGACGGCACGCGCTGCCAGGCCGACTCGCTGGACATATGCATCAATGGAGAGTGTAAGGTGAGTCTACAGCCCAAATCTTACTCACAGTTCCTGTAGAAAGTACCATATCATTTTATAGTGAATGCTAGTGAATACTTCTACTCACTTAAAGCATGAGTGAGAAACAGCAGTTTTGAGATGTACATTTTTACACAACCTTGTCATGATGTCTCTATAGCAGCTTTCGTTGGCCAAGGACTGTCTGACTGACATGTAAAACAACTAATCACAGTTTATTTTGTTTTGCGCCATGCTTAGAGATGTGAAAGTGTAAAGTCAATGTCCATACAATAACTTAATCATTTACTGCATCAATAGTGCATCAGATTTCAAAAAGACCTGTTTGAAGTTAGGTGAAAACATGCAGACTTTTTTCTGAGAATTTCAGACTTGGAAAATAACACACTTCTCATATCCCGTCGGCAAACAAGTTAAAAATACCTCTTTTTGTTTCCACAAGTCAGCAACATAGTGTCGGCCCAGATCCGGCCCACATCTGGTACATATGGATTCCACACAGCCCAGATGTGGACCGGATCTGGGCCGACACTATGTTGCTGTCTGGCCTCAAGCAAAAGACTTGGATGTCTTTTTAAAAAGTCTAAGCGGAATCTGGAATCTGGAATGCAAGAATGCATACTTCTAAAATCTTCCATTTTCAACACCCTATGGTTGTGTTCAGAATGGAGTACTAGCATACTTCATACTGAGCAGTACAACTAAATACTACTATTTAAGGAAATACTTACTATTTACAGCCAATACCAATGTTCTTTCAGGCACTGGTCAATTTTGAGATTTTACAAATTAACTATTCTATTTGAAAAACATCCAAAATACACATTTAAGTGTTTATTTTATTACACTTTGTTTTTGCATCTGTAAACTTCAACTATGAGTTAACAATTAGTTAACAGTAAGTTTCCTTACTATATGGTGAATAACTGTAATTGATCTCATCTTACATTTAATGTCATTTTACAGTAAAATACTGTTAAATTTAGTTTTTGGAAGTGCAAAAGAACAACGGTGCGTCTGAGTAGACACTACATTTGAATTTGAACTTACTTCATGACCATTAAAAAAGTATGTTCTATATAGTTATGAGTGTGTGGTATGAATGTAATCCGGACGAACTACATCCGCCATGTTGTCATTATCATGTGACCTACCAGCGGCAGTTGCGTCACTTCACTGCCATTCACAAATCCTGTCCTGTGGCCTCATGGGATAGTAAAGTGTCCATCGAATGAGCACTTCAGAATCTCGCCAGAAGAAGTAGGTCTTTTCGCCTACTGTTTTTTGAATACTATGTATTCTGACATACTTGTCTTTTGGCGTTCTGTTCTTCACATTAAACAGTACGCCACAGTGAACAGTGAAAACCGTAAATTGACATTCCCAGAATTCCACAATCTTCAGAAACGTGCAGAAAAGTGGCTTCATAGATTTCTATTTTCTTGCAGCTCTTGTGGCCTAAAATGTTGCATTATCTTTGTTTATCAGACAATAACGGTCTCAGACGAAAAGTCTACACAACGTAGCCAATCGCTAACACAGAACAATGAAGCGTAAATAAAGGCTGCTGTTGAAAGGGCTGACCCTCTTATCAGGACAGTACAGTTTTGAATCTAATTGTGTTTTTAAAAAGGCGGGAAAACCGCTCGAGAATTCTATTTAATTCGCTTACAATATCATTTGTACAACAAACCAAATTGACGTAATAGTGCGACGCTTTGTTTATTTTAGGGTTACATTTTTGAACTCTGTGTAGAAAAGATTTTGTCTGCAGTTTGGTATTTGTTAGTCTCACACATTGTTGTCCGCATCCTTGATTTATATGGTTTAAGATACTATTTTAATTGATCCCCAAGGTTTCCTCTTTGATCTGATCTGGAGCGAAGAAATCCACACAATGTTCTTTTAAACTCTAAGGAATCAATCTGTGCTGCGCCCAACAACCTTTCATTGCCTTTTGGACGATAATAATAATGCAAGTAAAGGCATGCACAGGGGTTTTACAGGGAATGTCCAAAACAAAATAAAACCGCAATGTCTAGTCCAGTGATTCGCAACTGCTGGGTTACAACACAAAAAATTGGTCACATGTTAGTTCTGAGCAGGAAAAAACATGTTAAATTTAAATAGTGAAATGCAACACACACATGTGCATTCATTGAAAGAAATTTGGTATAGGATTTGCTTTAAAACAATTTAACTGAAATTGTTAGTAAATTTCACAAATAATTAAGAAATGGCAAATAACACATTGATTAAATATGACATTGAAATAGTATTTCAGTAATCTTTGTTATATTGACAACTTTTACTTTAAGTGAGCATTAGATGAAGGTAAAGGTAATCAATACGTAAAAACAGGCAAAATGAGAAACTAATATCTATCAAATTGGCTGATGACCGATAAAGTACCAATGTATTTCATATAAGGTTGTGTGTCCAGTCAGACTACGGTATTTTGGCACAAGTTCACCTGTAATTTTGTAGAAGCCAGTCAAGTTAGATAAATGCCAACATGGACAGGTTGCGTGACATGCCCTCATGAACAAAATGTAAGATGAAAGAAAATTTGACGCAACATGGATAAACATGGTTTGTGCCGACCACAGTGTGCTGAATTATTGGCTGCTGAGAGCAGAAAACCAACAAAATCCAATTGACATTTAGAAACAAAACACTAGAACTATAAATACTGTAACTCATGCTTCTGCTATTGTTTATGCACTTACAAAATTGTCAATTTTCATAATCAGCCTGTCATATCAACGAATTTCACTGTTTGATTTAAAGGACATTTTTATTTAATTTCGTACTATGCTGTAAATCATTTTGGTTCTGTATTGATGTCCAGTGTGAAATCATGGTCCTGAAGCAAAACCAGAACCATTCGTCTTTTCATGTCATATTCTGACTCAATACAGCTGTGCGAATGACATGTTATTCCTCGAATCAGACAGTCACGGTCTGAGAACGCTTCGGCCGTGTTCCCCTGCACTGAAACCTGTGTGTCTTTCCAGCATGTTGGCTGTGATAACATCCTGGGCTCGGATGCCAAGGAGGACAGATGCCGTGTGTGCGGCGGGGACGGCAGCACATGTGAGGTCACCGAAGGACTGTTCAACGATTCGCTACCCAGAGGAGGTCAGGAGGTCACTGATTATACACTCACAAATATCACATAATCAGTACACTGCTATGCATTGTCATGATAATGTGTTACTAGGTACTTACTAGGTCTATCGAGTTGGTAAGTAGGTTGGTGGTTGGTGTAACTCAAATATTGGATGGTTTGACCCCAGGCAGCATCTAGTAACCATGAACCCCTAACGTAGGTGTTTACTTGAAGCTCCCCCAAAGATTTGACTAGAATCAAGCGACACATTTGCACGTTCACAGTTCTCTGATGTCAGTTTACTCCATCTGTGTTTTGATCATCGTTCTGAATCCAATCTGGATTTTGTCTTTGACAAAAAAAAAAACGATTTTCTCAAATGTTTGTTGAAACTTAAGCACATTTAAGGGTTGATAAAAAAAACAATGCTTGAATCTAGAATAAAATGTGTTTTTGGTTTGAAAGCAGAGGCTCTGTTACTTCTTTTGATATATTGTATGTTCTGATATACAACAAAACATTCGGGGGGCCACGAAAGTTTTGTGAAATTGATCAAAAATGCTGGCTGGCAACTTTTTTCATAAACTCTGGCGTCGCAATAGTTAATGGTCACATGACATGTAAAGACAAGTAAATAAATAAAATATTTGAAAAATTTAGGTACGCATTTATTTGAAGCTGGACTTTAAGTGGACTCAAACGTGTTTTAGAAACCCAATTATTAGTATTAGTATTTTACCTCTAATTACAAAAATGAAGACAGAAATATTACTCTTGTACGGTAAAATACAAATGAATATTTGATAATAAATATAATTATTTTATTTTACACTTCAAGTTACAAAGCTAATATTTATGTCTTAAATACTCCACTTGCAAAACTGCAAACTTCTGGCCACAAAAATGTTGGAAATTATGCAAATGTGTAAATAAAGTAAACCTAGCGCAGGTTGAGTTCCCAAATGCATGCAGCGATGGAGTTCGAAGCATTTACTGTCGATCTAAAATGCTGAAAACAGTGGATCACAAGCTGCTCGTGCGCATCAACACAGTGCTGCGCTTAACTTTAAAACATGTGCCGCCTCAGCCTTTAAAGTTATTTCATTAAATGGCAGCCTTTGATTTCATAATCATACTAAGCTATGTCAGGATCATCATGCAGCTCCATTTAGTTCTTTCAATTTACATGGGATATCAATCATCGGCTTTTCATCAATTCATGAACTTGCCTGCAGTTCTCTCACAAACCGCTGTTTGGGAAACCCTGATCTAGGGGAACTGTCCCTGTGTCCATGTTGCTTCGGATATTTGAAGTCTTTCAAAAGCATAAAATAGAGTGTGGCGAAATCCACTGCTGAGATGTATGGAACAAGAGGAGCACGACGCAGACCGATCTCTCCCCTCAGAATCCCGTTCCAGAGAGCGCGCCGCACGCCTGCCAAACGCGACAAGTTTTTAATCGCTTTCCACTAGAGAAATCCCACTTGAAGAAAGCACAGCACAAGCGAGTGGAGGAACGCATTGTCTTTTTGGCAGTGGCTCCTGTCAGGGGGCCAACGGGGTGCTTTGGCCAAGATCGACATTTTTCATGGAAATGCTGTGAGGTTTTTTCATCAGACAACCATGATAAAGCTTTTGTTTTTGGGTCAAGAAACAAGTTGTCAAAATAGAAGCGGTAACACAATATACGAGTATTAATTGCATCATCCAGTGAGAGAATCAATAAAACTTCTAATATTGCACGCATTGTCGGGCCGCATCCAAAAGTATTCTCTGTAGTAAGGGACTGTTTTCTCCTTTTAAGGTATAGCTGGTAAATCATCTGAAACTTTAAGGGGGGAGTGAAGGGTACGGTGTAGATTCTTCTCTTGTAATGAATTTGCTGTTGCTAAGTTAGTTAGGTTTTCTTTGAGCATGCTGGGATTCTATTCAAATACAACTGTGTGCTCCGGGTCTGTTTAGTTTACACGAAACACTAGATACAACTAAGAATTAGCCATAAAGCTTTAAACAAGGACAAAATGAAGAAGTTTTTGAAAGTGAAAGAGTTTGAAAGAGTCCAGAGTTAAGGAATCTGCAAAAGTACACAGCTTTCAAAAAATCTCGACAACTTTAAAAAAAAAACAAGAGATGACACAATGGGCAAAGACATCCACTGTAGTTGTGGATAAATTCAAAGAAAAAACTTCAGAGAGAGTTTTACAGTATGTCAGTGGTAATTAAAGCACAACATGCTAATTTAAGAACCGTTGCTATAAATATAAACACATAATACTTACACTATGTTGGGCAGACAAGTCGATTAGGCGACCACCATGGCCTAAATATAATGTCATTGTGGTTTGTGGCAACCATGATGCCAAAAAATGCTGCTAAAACAAGATGTACATGTATGTACATTTACCGGCGACAACTGCAAAATAGTGCCATTCTATGAGTAAAATTCAGGTTTTGCTTTATTGTGCCATTTTTTAAATTTTGCAGGTTACATGGAGGTCGTCCAGATACCTAAAGGATCGGTTCATATTGAAATCAGGGAAGTGGCCGTGTCAAAGAACTACATTGGTGAGTGTTTGTATTTATCTTTTTGAAGCTTTGTTTATGATTGTTTGGAGCTGCACGATTAATCGTTAAAAGATCGCGATCTCGATTCAAACACATACACATGATCTCATTCCTAAATGACAATGATTCGTCTCTGTCTATTAAACCTTTGACAAAATCACACCGGAACATTAAAATCTGTGTTTGTGCTGCTGAAACTGGTATGAAACAGCTTCACAAACAATCTTTTGAACATGACAGTATGGTTTTGTGTTACAAATATTCAAATATCACAGAAATAGTGGGCTAAAAGTTTACAGTTCAGATATAAACACTGATGTCTACGGTAGTGATCAAAATAGAGTAAATCACCTTTTGAAAGTAACTTGATGCTTCAAATAAAGACTGTATTAATTACTTCGTTACACCAGTAGGTCGCTACCTGCTGTGGAAAATCACTTTTTTCAAGTAATTGTTAAAAAATTAATTTATCATTGAATCATTCATTCAAGAGATTCATTCAAAAAAATGATGATTCATCCAGTGATGAAACAAGTGAAGTTTTTATGAGTGAGTCATTGAATCATTCATTCAAGTGATTTTTAAAAAATAATTAATTTGAATTAATCAAACATTTTTAATTTATACTGCATCAATAAACATTTTGTCAGAATCTCTATTAAATGGAGTGTTATTCTGTTTAGTTTGTTTGTTCAGAATTGGGTATCTCTGTTTGAAACAATTCTCAGTTTATCAATAATCGTGCAGCTCTACTGAGTACAAAAGTGGTGAAGTGGTTTGTGTTAAGCTTTGTTGTGGGTGTAAATCTGGATCAATCTGACAGCCGTCCTCGCTCTCATGTTCATTCTCTTAAGATGGGTCTTTTGTCTTTTCCCAACCACAAGCTGAGTTAAACCATCATGGTTCCCAGCCACGTAACTAATTAAAACAATCGGGTCCAATTAAGTTGTTTTGAGTGCAAACATAAATATAGCTAGTGTGTATGACAGCTTGTTGAGTTTTGCTGTCCATCATGTTGACGTGGAGGATTTTCTCGCCGTTTGAGAGGAAGATAAGTTGTCTGAAGTTCTGGCGCAGAGGTGGCTGACGTTGGCAACACAAGGAAATTGTAAAACACATTTTGTCACATGGCATGTTTGTGGAATACAAACACATGGCCCTGTTTAAAATGAGGATCTCAAATGTCTCACAAATATTTGGCTAATAATGAAAGCATGCTACAGAATTGGTTCATTGATGTTTAAAATCAGTCATTTCATTTCAATTGTACCTGAAACAACTGTCTTCTTATCTCTCTGGTTGGTTTTAGCCAACGTATCATATAACTGGCAGTGTGAAAGCATAAAATTCTGTCATCATTTGCTCGCCCTTGTGTCTTTCCAAACCCATATGACTTTTATTCTTCCATGGAACACAAAAGGGAATGTTTTCAAGAATTTGTACGCAGCTCTTTCCTATATAGTGAATGCATATGCATTTATATGAAAACTTGCCATGTCACTTTCAGTTATGAGACCTGCGAGAACCAATCAGCATTTGGCATCATTGATTGATGTGTAACCTGTCACAACACATCTTGACACACTAAGTTTAAAAATGTAAATTCTTAGGTAATAATAACTTGGATTTTAGTGTGTTTCACACATCTATCATATGGCTTCTGAAGGCTTGTGTACAAATCATATTTACTACACATATATATGATGCTTTTTGGAGCAAGTCTATACTTTCATTTATGGAAAAGGGCAGTTCAAACATTCTGCTAAATTTCCCTTTTTTTCTTCCGTGGTGGAAAAAAATCGAAAGTCCAATTTTCAGTTTTGTTTCAATTAATTCACAATTGATGGTGCGCTATTTTTGTCTATTTTAACCAAATATTACTACCAAGATAATATTTGGCTACATTTTTGTACACCATGATGGAGTGACTGTAGAATAAAACTTCTTTATCTTCAATGTGATTGTAATCCATTTAAATATTTATCAAAAGTACTGTTCATTTCTTTGTTTAAATCTTAAAAATAAATAAACTGGGTGCACCTTTAGGAAAAATAAATGGTGCAAAAGTCCTTTTGAGCTGGAGTGAGTAAAAAACACCTTGTTTTTCTACAATTTGGCCCAATCTCAATCGAGACGTTTTTCTACAATTATGCTTTGAGATGAGATCTTTGTTTTGACAACTGAGTTATGGCATTTGTGAGGAAAGCAGGCTTTCACCTGAACTTGGTAAGTTAGATCTACAAGCTGCACTGCGTCTGAAAGCGCGAGTGAAAATTGTCCATGACATCAGGAAGCCTGAGCCACTCTGTAAGACGATGCTCGTCCTGTTGATGAATGACAGCGATGACATCACCCTCTCAGCTTGGCAGCATCTCGCTCGTGTCGGGTTATTAACTGGTGCTCTCACTTGTCACAGCTTTGAAATCGGAGGGGGATGACTATTACATCAACGGAGCCTGGACCATCGACTGGCCCCGCAAATTTGACATCGCAGGAACAGCCTTCCACTACAAGAGGCCGACCGATGAACCCGAGTCGCTAGAAGCTCTAGGGGCCACCACTGAAAATCTGGTGGTTATGGTGAGTAGATCTAGATCCTTATATATTCGCTATATGGAGCACAGTAGTCTCAGTAGTTCTAGTGTTTTAGAAGTATATGCCAGAGATGTGGCCTGGCAGGTCGTTCAGATGCTCAGAGACGCGCTGAAGCACTTATGTGATTTCAATCTAGCTTGTGTCATGTCCCTTTCCTCTCTGTTGGACCTGTAGTTTCCTGTTATCTCTCCTCTTTACTTTCAGTGAAAGTGACAAAAATCATTTTAAAATGGCTATTTTACAACAATTCAGGCCTTTCCCCTGAGTTATTTTCTATAAAAGCTCATGTAGTAAGGTCACAGTAGTGAGACTGTAGAGCAGGCTTGTGTTTTGAATGCGCAGTTTGAAATCGTTTGGCTCCTTCTAAATAAAGTCCACATCTGTGTACAAACCTCACATGAACTCAATCTGGCGGTTTCAGAGTTAACCGTTATATATGTTTGCACTAAAAACCTCTGTCTGGCCAAGTGCGAGTGCTCATGTGCACATGTTTTAGCACGCGTGTGTGTGTGTTCATTCTGAAAAGCCCCGTCTCGGCAACCACAATCGCTTTCGCCTGGACAAAAAGTGCTGGAAATACCAGGCCTGGTCGCAGCACCGCTGGAAAACATACAAGTGGCCAATGCACCACAAGCCATTCCATTGTGGCCCACACTGGTTAACAGGGCTTTCCAATTTATTACACACACACACACATGCAATTATAGCTTTCTGACTAAGTAATTCAGGAATAAAGCTGATGTGATATGCTAAATATGTGCTCGTTCACGTTCAAGCTGAACTGAGGTTGGGCTCATCCCAAAAATCTCCTCTTCCTAATGATTTGATTGCTCTATTCAATACATTTTTAAGACCTCAGTATTTGTCTTTTTGACACTAATCCAAGACCAACTTCCTTTGCCAAAATCCTTGGTTAAGATCGTGGAAGTCTATAACACCTGGAGAATTCCCATTCATCTCAATGACAGTTGCTCGGCTGGCATATCCAGCCTTGGAAGGATGCAACCTGCATTTCTAGTTTGAGCCAGTCAGGATTGACGTCACAACAACACTGAGTGGCTGATACAACCACAAGAATGTGAACTGTCCCACCATAAAATACTCTAACATCCCATCTACTATCAATAATTGCAATCCGTCAAAGTGCTATTTGTAACAATCTGGGAACAAAACTAACCAGGTTGACCCTGACCTCTTTGTTATGCCTGTATATTAGCAACAGAAAAGAAACCCCTATTCCATTTGAAATGTTACAGGTGCTGCTACAGGAACAGAACCTGGGCATCCACTACAAGTTCAATGTGCCCATCCAGCGTACAGGAAGTGGGGACAATGAAGTGGGCTTCTCTTGGCACCATCTGCCCTGGTCTGAGTGCTCAGCAACATGTGCAGGAGGTACGGCAATCAATTCCACACATCCTTATTGAGGAAGTTTGTTGTCCCTGCTGATCAGTAATGAGAAAATGTGAAAAACAAGTGGACAGACTGGACGAAAACATGATCTTGATAGTGTCCCCAGCAGGCTTCATACGTAGTTTAAAGGATTTTCCTGATGACTCGGACACGAAAGAATACATTTTGAATAATCTATTAGTTGTCTGTTCAGTTACAGTGAACAAGAACTGAGCTGAGAGTTCATGAGAGAAGTAGCAAAGTCTGATTCTTGAACAACAGATCTTTTGAAGTTCATCCAGTTCACAAAACTGGTTGGAATGATTCATTTGTGAATTGGACTGATTTTCTTCATAATTATCAGCAAATAGGAACTTACATTTTGGTATTTTGGGTCTAAAAATTTGGTATTTATGGCCCTGTAATGATGATTTATTACACCTGGTATTAAGATGCGTTTTGGTCTATCATATCACAAGTAGATGAGGGAGACACGTTTCCGTTTACACCTGGTGTTTTGATCTGTCTAAACCAATTCTGTCCTGGTTTCTTCTAGGGGAGGGTCTATGGACAGGTAAATGTATGGACTTTTTCAGATGTTTCAATCTAATGGACGAAATAAGCTTGTGCAATTTACATATGAACGCAAAACTTAGGTCCCGTCTGGCTAATACGCTTCCCATAATGTTAACGCGTTAGGTCAGAGAAGACGGTCTTTTGTGGCTTTTCAAACACATTCGACCACATGAGTGTTTACACTACGAATTACGAAAGCAATCCGTTCAAATGCGTTTTCGACAACCTCTGGAGGTGGTCTAAAGTGGACAAGCTCAAAAAGTTTTAGACCCGTTTACACCTGTATTTTGTCGTCCAATTGTGATAAGATTGACGAAAACGATTCTTAAAGGGATACTTCAGGATTTAGTATTAAGTTTTGTATTAGTAGGAAACCTGTAGTATTTTAAAATTACCATGCTTTAAATCACCCTCATATCCCCCTGAGACGAGAGATTTATGTATTTTTTGTCTGAAAAAAATCCTCCGATGACGCAAAAATCGTCATTTTGCGTCATCGGAGGATTTTTTGGCCAGAGGCTAAAGACTACAGCCAGTAGAAGGAGCTGTCCCGCATGTTCTCAACCCGCCCATAGAGGGTGGGATCTCACTCACAGAATGTACACATAGTGTCAGCCATCTTTTTTTGGAAGCTTAGCTAGCAGGCTCTTGTTCTGTGGAGAAAGATGAGTAGTAGGGGTTATCATTCATCCTCTTTTTCCCGTACATGTCCGGCCGTCGAGATCGTACAAAATGTCCGGGATTCAGCTTTTGCTTTCTGCAGTCGCCATTCATTGTTTACATGCACAACTTTTGTTTCAATCTAACTGAATTCATTCCGATTGGTGAATCTGAATGTAGTGTTTACATGAGCGCTAAAGAAGTGATCGGTTGATCTGCGTTTTAACATTGCTAAGAAAATTCCCGCTCCTCCGTGAGAGATACGAGAGCGGTGCGTCTCACAGGTGTCGCTCATCGGTAATCACGCCACCGGCCTCGCGCCGTTCTCCCGTGGCCCTCACTCGTCCTGCTCGTCACAGTAAACATAATGAACGTCGACTGTAGAACGCAAAAGCCGAATCCCGGACATTTTGGGCGATCTCGAAATCCCGGGCAGACTCATCACGGAGACTCACTAGTAGCCTAGACTTGTTGTTTAACTTCTGCGCTCTGTTACTGGTAGGCGTGGCCTCCTAGGGCAGCGAAGCAAGTGCATTCTGGGAGTTGTTGTCTTTCATCCACATAAGCCAAAAATACATTTTCTGGCTTTTCTCAGTCTAGAAAGCTCCAAATTCAAAAATAATTTCACATTTCTTCTACATAAATGACCCATTTTAAATACACATTCATCTTTCCAGAGGTGAAGTATCCCTTTAATACTAGGTGTAAACAGGGCCTTTGATACATTTATGGTACTTTTGTGTCTTTTTTGAAGCTTGAAAGCTCTATTTTGCTTTGCTACATTTTTATTATGAACAGCATTGGATTGGAAGTCATCATTTCTATATTAAAAAAAAATCCTACAGAATGATAAATGTATTTTTATCTGACATATGACTATGTTTCACCAATTTGTGCCGCCAACATACAAGTTGTGCAGGGAGCAGAAAGGCTACCTCTTATTTCAACATCTGAATGTCGTAACCACATGTAAATGTGAGCCCTCACCTCAAATATGACCAGACTGTTCAGGCTCCTCCGAAATAAATGGCTTTCTTACAACAATAAATAGTTTTCCTCTCTCCTTTTTTCAGTTATGGCCATTGAAAACATTCAAAGCACTTGTTATATTTCACCAAAAAATGCAAACATCGCAGGCTAGTCCACTGAGGGTTTTCACAGAGCTCCGCAAACTCAACCTCATTCGTTGCTCAATTCATTTGAACACATTTTAGTTTATATGGAAATACCCCAGGGCAACACTTATGTCATTTGTGAAATTTTGGGTTATTAATACAACTCCCGGCTGTTCTGCTGGCAAGCCACACAGGGAGCATTTGAACACCAAGCGAACTGCCATAAAATTCTGCAATATTCTTTTAGAAATGATTTGTGATTCAGACACTTGGACTTGATTCCTGCTTTTTTTTTTTTTAAACTCCCATTAAATTTCAATGTTGCGGTCTTATTGTTTTGATCGTTATGTGCAACAATGATAACGGTCTTACATCATGAACTGATGTCATGAGATTTTACATTTACCCCCTGGTTGGGTTTCAGCGAATCAAATCGGTACTAGCGAAATCTCTTATCTTGAAAGGGTTCATCGAGCTCCCACCGGAGTAGTTTGTTATTTCGGTTACCCAGTCAAGAATGCCGTACTGGCAGCTGTTAGATCCACCTCACAAGGTGGCCTTGCGCGCTAGCCAAGCTTGGCATAAACCGGCTTAACTGGAGGCTAATGTCTTTCCTTATGGGCCCCAAAGAGTCCAATGGCCTCTAGCGCTAAGCATAGCGCACTACTCTGCCATTACTGTGGTAATGCTCACTTTTCACAACCAAGAGCCAAAGAAAAGATTGGCTTCTCTGTAAAAATCATTCACTAAGACACTCACTCCAACCGAGGCATTTACACACCTAGATATAATACGGAGGGAAAATTGATATCACCTCCGTGCCTCTATCCACACAGAGTGCTCTGTCAGCAAGCGGACCCCTAGAGAAGAGACACAGAGCTAGTTTAACCTCAGGGACCGATGCCGACCACACAGCGCTTTGCGCACGAGCTGCTGAAGTGCCGAAAACGATGGTGCAGCTGAAAGCGTGAGGCGGATGAATGAAGTGATGTTTTATTGTCTGTTTGCAGGTTCGCAGAAGCAGGAGGTGGTGTGTAAAAGACTGGATGACAACTCCGTGGTCCAAAACAGCTACTGTGACTCGGACAGCAAACCGCCAGGGAACCAGCGGCCCTGTAACACCGAGCCTTGCCCTCCCGAGTGAGTATAGCAACTTTAAAGGCGTGTTGATTGGGGAAACAAAACAAAAGAGATATATAATTATTGGGGCTGTCGATTTAGGGCATTAACTCATGAATTTTAGGGGCCCCTAATTATATGCCCCTAAAATTAAAAAATGCCCTGTATGATTTCTCATATTTATATGATATGATATAGTTAAGCAGTTATGAGTGCAATATCACACAAGTGATGTTTTTGTCCCGAATAGCACGAGCGCAAATGTGGTACTGATTTTATACAACAGTTCAACAAATAAGAAGTTAATATTGTGCTATATTTTAGACACAATATTGTCTGCTTTTGCTCAATTTTGCCAATGAAAATATTACCTATAAAGCCAGAGCAGGACTGTTGTGCGCCTCCGAGCAACTCACAGCGGTGTTTAATTTCTGAATGAATCCACCTTTTGAGCGAATCAATCAATCGGGTGAACCAATGATTCAATGACCTATTCTAAAGAGAGCTATTTACTTCCTGAATGAATCAGCCGTTTGAACGAATCGAATGAATGATTCAATGACTCACTCATTTAGACATTTACAGCCACCTACTGGCAGTTTTACTCTTATTTAGAGTATCATTTCATAAAAAAATCATATTTCCATATTAATAAAGAAACATTAACGTTTCAGCCACACATGAAAATTCTGTTATCATTTACTAATTTTATTTTTCTTCTAAACCTACTTGATGCTTTTCTCATTTAACACAATAATGACTTTAAATGATCTTTTTGGGGTAATTTCTCGGCCCAAAGAGATGTGCGATTAATTTGTGATTAATTAGATTAATTAATTGCCACATCGTGTAATTAATTAGATAAACAATGCTAATGGCTAGACAGCCTAATTATTATAATTGCATAATTAAAGGATAGCCTATTTATAACCATTACATCATGTACAACTGGACTTTTTTTTTTTGCAGTGGGACATTTTTTATGACAATTTGCACAATTTCCTTAAACAAATTAATCAATAAAAAAAATTCTCAATATTGTAATGAAGTTTGAAAAATCATTCTGCCAATTTTTTAAATAATTTTTTATTTATTATAACAGTATCAACTAAATTCAGTACAGTGAATACTATTATCATATTACAAATGTACTTTACAATGCAGATAATATATCATTAATTATTGCATCATGGGAATGACAATAAGAGCAAACTTTTTGCATTACATCATGCCCTAACTTGGTAAGATGTGACAAGTTTTCTTTGATAAGCAATTATGTCCACATTGAAAGCTAAAACGCTGCACAATGTGACACAATTTCTGCCGAAAGTCAGATTTGACTTGACAGATTTCACAGAAAATCATGTAGTGTATGATGGTCACAGACTTCGACTTCAAAGTTTGATTCCATTCATATGGAGGATATCAAACATGTTTAATATTTTGAGCTGATTTTAGAACACATAAGGTCTTCATTTGTCACATGTTTCTGTGTGAGTTTGTTGTGTTCGTAATGATTTGAAAGTCTAGTAGTGTGTGATCCTCAGTCGTTTAGTGTATATGATACCCAGTTTTTACTTTGTAACTATTTACAAAGTCAGCAAATGTATGATGCCTTGTGTTTTAAAATGGGTTCAGATTTTAAAAGTCGTGTAGTGTATTCCAGCCTTAACCCGCACCCAAACACCTAACCCTAACTTAGCAGTCTACTAATACTCCAATGAGAGTTAGTTGACATGTAGTTGCAAAGTTACTTATTTCCCCGATTTCACAGACAAGGTTTAAGCTAGTCCCAGACTAAAATGCACATTTTAACTGAAAGCAACTAGCACTGGCATATCTTAAAATAGATCAGTACCATTGTTTTGTCTCAACATGCAACCAGTAATGTTTTTTTTTTTTTCTAAGGCACGTTTATAAAAGCTACTTAAATGTCCTTATTGACCTAAGGCCTAATCCTGGCTTAATCTAAACCCTGTCTGTGAAACCGGGCCATAGTTAGTAGAATGTCTAAAGTGGACCATTGAAATAAAGTGTAACTAAAAATCTTAATTGTTATAAAAACAGGCTTAATTTATTTACTTCATGCAAAAATCTATTGCAATTTTTGTTGTCATTTTCCAAACATGTGGCTTATACTTAAGGTTTTGCTCTCTTTGTCAGCCTAGGATGAAAAAAAAAATGAAAAAAAAATCCAGAAATTGTATTCTGTTTTGATGAGTCTTATCAAAATAGTACATAGCTGCTTAGCAATAAAAGTCCAAAGGCAAACGTAATGTTTCATTTGTCTTCATAGCACCCCGACCATAAAGAGCTTCTTTGAAGACAGCTTAAAAACTAAGCAACATGATTTATTTCTTCATATGTTGCCTATTTTCATTTGGATTTTGGTGCCAAAATCCTAAAGGCATCCAAAAAAGTATGAGTGATCACCTGCGTTTAATTGTATTGGCTAGCAGAATTCATGAACCCTCAAGGGACAATATCCATAAACGTGTGTGGAGTATGCGTGTGTGCGGCGGCCAGACGCACTTAACGCTCATTTTCAATGGGGCGAGCAGCTGCGCAAAGTTCACTTGTGTCTGCAAATTTTAAATTGGAAGGAGGAATTAAATGGTTTTGGCCTCTGCACTCCTGCATCTTGCCAGTGGAGGGTTTAGTGAACCTGAACCCGAAGATGGGCATCGCTAATAACATCATCTAAAATCTATTTCCATCTCCACCTGATGTCAGAGGAATGCAGTCTCTGGCCCAGAAAGGGTCGTAATGGTCATTTGAGAACACCCTGTTGTGTTTGGGGAGGTCATTTCTCTCTAATGATCTTGCAGATTATGACAGATTTTATTTCATTATTAATTTATGTTCAGCTTTAATTTTATTTTACTTGTAGCGTTTCGTAAGACGCATAGTCTTTCGTGGCTTTATCAGAGCATCGCCAAGAGAATGCAAACAAACCACACGGAACTTAATTCAGCCGTAACAAATGATAAAAAGACACGGTTATATAAAATGTCTGTATTCCTCAGCCCAGCTAAAGTGTAGGAGTAGTTTTGCCAAAAACGAAGACAAATTGAATGCAAATTTGGAATTGTTGTTGCCATTGTGTGGAGTTCACAGGCGTTGAACCTTAACAAAGTGCATTTGCAGAGTCCAAAAACCAATTGAGAGTACAAATATGGTTGAAATAAAATGGCGTTTCAGGCCATTTATGCCAAATGTTTCTCTTCTTGCTAATTTTAGGCCACTATGTGGCAAGGCATTAAGCATTTGAAACTAATATATCAAAATCAAGATCTTGATGGATTTTTCAATGTTGCGTTTCACTGAGAGATTGTAAACTTGTCACTGCAAAGACATATCTATTTATTTTATTGTGAAAAGAAGTTTAGGTTTGGTAAGAATGCAGTAAAAACAGTAAAGTTGTGAAGTATTATTACAGTTTAAAATAAATGATTTTGGTAACACTTTATTTTAACGTGTCCTTAACTATAAATTATGCATAATTACATGCAACTAACCCTAAACCACACCCTAATCCTAACCCTATAGTAAGTACATGTAGTTAATTATTATTACACAGTACTTAAATGCATAATTACACTGTAACAAAGACATGGTTTTCTACTTGAAAAAAATATAAAAGTTTTTTTTTTTTTAAACAGCATTTATTTGAAATAGAAATCTTTTGTAACATAACAATTGTCTTTACTGTCACTTCTGATCATTTTTTGGCATCCTTGCTTAATAAAAGTATTACTTTCTTTAAAAAAAAATATATATATATATTTTGAGGGGTAGCATATTATGCAATACATATATGTATTTTGATGAAATCACGCAAAATGCAGTTAGTAATAAATATTTATGGATGGAGAATTCCCATTTTGTGTGTTTTCAGGTGGTTTATAGGTGACTGGTCAGAATGTGGGAAAACCTGTGACGGAGGCATCCGAACACGTACTGTTTTGTGTATACGTAAAATCGGCCCCGCCGAGGAGGAGACCCTGCAGGACAGCCACTGTCTGACCCACCGACCAATAGAGCAAGAGTCTTGCAACAATCAGTCCTGCCCACCCCAGTGGGTGACGCTGGATTGGTCTGAGGTGACCTGATGTGTTCTTCATCTATAAAGTCTTCGGATAATCTTCTTGCGAAGTTGCTTTCATATTGTTGCGTTGTGTTTTTGTCTATAGTGTACCCCAAAGTGTGGCCCTGGCTTCAAGCATCGTATTGTTCAGTGTAAAAGTAGCGACCTGACCAAAACCTTCCCACCAGCCCTCTGTGCGGACCATAACAAACCCCCGGTCCGGATTCGCTGCAGCCTTGGTCGCTGTCCGCCGCCACGCTGGATCCCTGGAGAATGGGGACAGGTACGAGGATTTATTTCAGGATTCTTTCAAAAGAACAGCATTCATTTTAAATTTGTAACATTATTAATGTCTTAACGGACACTTCTGATCAACTTAATGCATCCTTGTTGAATAAAAGATACAAATCTTACTGAGCCCAAACTGTAGTGTATATGCTATACATCTGAATCTGAAAAATAAGCACTAAGTAATCACTATAATATTCAACTCCTCCCCTCCAATCATCTAGCCTCATTCTGGTATGTAATGCCCACTTTTTTCGATCCAATCAAGTACCATCCAATATACATCTCATATTATGGAAGTAAAATCAATGCGGTTTCATGTTGGCTGTAAACTACAAGCTAATGCAGCCTTGTGTAAGTATTTCACGTGTCGTTAAGATTTAGAACAACTAAAGAAAGAGTATTGCTGTGCAATACATGCGTAAAGACTGTTTTAATACAGCATGAAAAAGACCATGTGTTTAGTTGACGTCAACAGAAGTTACACTCGCATGATAAACTAGAGCCTCTGGAAAGCCAGTGACGTGTGTTTCCGTGAGTGACAGCGAGTATAACAGCCCAAGAGTGTGTAAGTGGAGGTAATATCATCCAGATTGTTTGAAGTTTATCTCTGCGGTTGACAAGGTTTTCTGTCAGTGCCAAGAATATGTTTTTAAAAAGACAAAACAAATCACTCTCAGGCGGCCCTGTGGTTTCTCTCTTGAAAAAAAGGATACGATCAGGATAACTGTGGTGGCTTGTAGTAAATCTTTTTAAAAATGCTGTATAAACAAAATAATAATAATAATATTTTCCTCTTTACAGGTAGTATTCCATAAGGGGAGAAAAAAATGTAGGGCAGTTGAAAAGGAGAGATTGAAAAATAGAAGTTCGCATCACCCTGGTTCCCTCAACTAAAGCCCAATAGGTTTTTGGTTTATTGCAGAACATAAGCTCTGTGACCAACAAAACTTTATGATTGTTATACATTTTGTTCATTGTTTTAATCTTCATAAATGAACTAAACTTTTAAAGCCTAAATACAATCACCAGAAATAAAAAGCTAAACATAGGTGATAAACAAACTACACCACAGTCACATGACGTCAACATCACCATCAAGGCTCCAACAACTCTTTCAGGTTTTATTTAAAATCCACAAGTTGGAAAAGTTTAAGTAAGAATAATTGCAAGGGTGTTTGTGAAAGTGGACTAGTGAGTAGATAGACCTGTTCCAGTGCCACACAACCTCTGTAGTGCCATTTAGACACTTGTTAGCAACCGCCTTTTAAAAGACAAGTAAAAGCTTTAGAAAAATCACAATCAATAATTGATGTATTTTATATCGTAGAATAAAATGTGAAAATACCCTTAGCTTGTGTTCACCATAGACCTTATTTCAACCATTTAACAAAAAAAAAAACATTGACTTCAGGACTATGGAACCAGAAGTGTAACATGCAAACTTAAACAAAAATAGGTCATCTCTACAGAGCACTAAATGAGGGCTTAGAGACATCAGTCGAAAAGGAAAGTCATTTAAAAGGGGGAGCAAGCTGATAAAATATGAAAAATACATATAAATGCACCAATAAAACATGTATGTTTACAATAAGACAAGGAATGACATATAAGACATATATAAAAAAATAAATAAGACATATATAAAAAAAACTGAAATATAATATAAGTGAGGAATTATTGACAACTGGCCGTTGAATTGTATGCACATTATAGTACATTATTTTCTAATAATTCAACGGACTGGAGTCAATTATTCTGCTTATGCTACGGTAACCACATCTCAAGACATTGTTCTGATGTTGTATTTCAAGACATTTGGAGCGAGCGAGCCCAGACAGCAAGATAGTGTCGGCCCAGATCCGGCCGTGTGGAATCCACGTGTACTAGATGCGGGCCGGATCTGTGCCGACACTATCTTGCTGTCTGGGAGAGAAAGAGAGAGAGAGATGAAGCTTGTGTGAATTGTCTGTGTGTCTCTGAACTTAACTAATAGAGAAACTGTAAGTTTATCTGCTTCAAGAACAACAGCGTTATTACCTCACCGGTGAGAAATGTAATGTAGCTTTTATGTTACTGAACTATTTTACTGATAAAATCGTCAGAGCAGTGCTGACAACTCGTTTTTTTTGCAAGTGTGTGTCCGTACTGTGTGTGTGCGTTTTGAGCGGGAGAAAGAGTATGTGCTCTCCATACATAATAAAACGTCATTTTGTGGGGAAAAAAAACATGGAAATAATTTGTCGTTTTTATCCTATTGTTTACTATTTTTATTTGCTTGGTCAGTGTCATTGTGGGTTTTGGTTCTTCTGCTGTTGTATGCGAAGTGATATGGAACTGTAATGCGGTCAAGACCTGCCTGGAACTACTTTAGCCTTTCGTTTCCCTGAAAATAATTGCACACCTTAGATCAGCCAATCAGATTCAAACATCCAACAGCCCTATAATATAATATAATACAATATAATAGAGAAAGATTTTCTCACATCACCTACAGTATAAGCAACAATTAAGGTTACAAGAACAACAATAATAATTAATGATCTGAAAAATATAACAAAAGTCTAGCTTTAACCATCTTCCCGAATGAAGTAACAACTACTGTGGTACGAGTTTCCCGCCATCCCATGATTCCTGCAATGAACTGAGACTCTCATAATGGAGTGGCTGTTGAAGGGAGCCATGGGCCAAAAGGTCACTGGTTCAAATCCCACTTAAGGCCTTCACTGACATATCCCGTCTGTCAGGGACTCGAGCTCTAATAAAGTCTGTTTAATACAGAGGGGATGAAATGGGAAGGCTGCTGGAAACTCATCTGAGATGTCTGCACTCAAGTCCCGTGAGGTGTCCTTCACTGTGGGTCTTACACGTGTTTATGACTAAATCCACATCAGATCCTTGTCTTGGCATGCGTCGTCAGAGTTTCTGTGGCATTCGCACTAGGCGCTGCAGCGCAGTGACTAATGAGCTAAATTTGTGTATTGTAGTGGATTGCTAGGCAACTCTTTCGTTTTTCCATTGAATCACTGTGCTACATCATGGTAGGAGACTACTGGAATACATCTCAGTTTCACTTCAGACAGTCGCAATTTACTCCCTCCAGCAACGTGGAGAGCTCTAATGTAGAACAGCTGACAGTAGTCAGAGATTCAATTAAACTATTACAACGACATTCCGCAAGTAGCTCTCGGTCCTTTGTTTTGGAGCACTGAGTTTGGGCCCGAATTCACAAGCGTGCCACGGACCGCCTGACACACACCACACACAAAAATGCCTTAAAATCACTCACACCAGTCTAATTGGTCGGTTTCTTCACAATGGACTCTATATGCACACTAAAAACTCAGCACTACAGAAGCTTCTGGTATAGCATTCTCCCATAGCAAACTGTCGATTACACCTAACTATATTAAAATATAGAAAATTAGTAACTATGGTAATCATAATATTTTAGTATATTACAATGTAACATGTTAGTAATGATTTCCAGAAGCTTTAAATATCTTTAGCGTAAAGGTGGATCGTATCAATATACCTTTGTCCTGTTGTGGGACACTTCCTCAAGATTAAAATTTTTTTTGGTAACACTTTATTTGAAGGGGTGTGCATAAGACTGACATGACACTGTCATAAACATGACATAACACCTGTCATGAACATGAAGGAGTCTTTATGATTGTTTATGACTGTTGTCATTAAGTGTCATTCGGTAAATTATGACACTTTTGATGCAAAGTTGACATTGTTTAAAATGTCTTTGTTATGACAACTTGACATTAACCAAGACAAAAATGTCTTGATTATGAAAACTTGACATTAACCAAGACAAAAATGTCTTGATTATGAAAACTTGACATTAACAAAGACAGAAATGTCTTTGTTATGACAACTTGACATTAACCAAGAAATCATAACCTGTCAACCTGTCACAAATATGTCATAACAGGTCTAATTATCAAACTTAAAGAAGTTATTTAGCTTTGCGTTAACTTTACATTACCCTGTCATATGTGGTTGGTTTTGACTTTGGCTGTCATGACACCATTATAACTGTGTCATGAATATTTTACTTGTCCTCAAGTAAAGTGGAACACATTGTACTAGTTATAAAGATGTCATTAAGGGTTATTACACTGTCAAATGCTTTAACATATGACAGGGTAATGTAATGTTAACGCAAAGCTAAATAACTTCTTTAAGTTTGATAATTAGACCTGTTATGACATATTTGTGACAGGTTGACAGGTTATGATATCTTGGTTAATGTCAAGTTGTCATAATCAAGACATTTTTTGTCTTTGTTAATGTCAAGTTGTCATAACAAAGACATTTTAAACAATGTCAACTTTGCATTAAAAGTGTCATAATTTACCGAATGACACTTAATGAAAACAGTCATAAACATTCATAAAGACTCCTTCATGGTCATGACAGGTGTTATGTCATGTTTATGACAGTGTCATGTCAGTCTTATGCACACCCCTTCAAATAAAGTGTTACCTTTTTTTTTGTGTGTGTGATTTTTTTCTCACAATTTCCATACACTTCACTGCACCGAAAGTTGTGTCGGCCATTGAGCTAAATGCGGAAGTGATCGTGCATTTAGTTCATTTACAGAAGTCAGTGGGTTTTTATGATTTCAAGGAAATAGTAGATACATTTCTTTAGAGTTTGAGAGAATCAGAGTAAAAGAAAGTAAAAGAGCGCCCTTGAGCACTTCAGAATTACATCTGATTTCAGATTTGCTACCTCGAAACGCTACTTAAATGAAAAACCAACCAACGTTGGTTGTGTTAAACATCATTCAGATATCCCTTTTCCTGTTTAACTCAATGGTTCTTGGCTGGAAAGTGGACAAGACTTAATGTCTGTTGACAAATGGGTTGAAAATACTGTTCCATTTACAATTTTGGGCCTTTTCCTGAAGTCTAACATAACTGACTCGTTGTGGCAAAGTGGCTTAAATTATTGTCTAAATTAATCTTAATTTTGCTTGTTATTTATACATCACACCTTATATTTCATCTCAAATATACTCTTCACTGTTGCTGCTGTCTTTAAGATAACCAAGTACACTAACTTTTTGTTTTTTACAGTGGTGAAGTATATATCAATTACATTACAATGTAATAAAATATAATAAAATTCAGTTATACTGTACCATTTAAAAAATTATTATTATTTTTTTTTAATTATTTTAGACAAAATACAGAATTTTTATATAATCCATTTATCTGCTATCAGCCATAACATAAAAAAAATTAATGATCAGTTTATGGTTCTGAGATATGGATTACAGGCTGAATTTACGGCTCATTGCATGTTTTTTTTACAGTGCTCTGCTCAGTGTGGACTAGGGCAGCAGATGCGGACGGTTCAGTGTCTGTCGTATACGGGACAGCCCTCCACCGAATGTCCAGACTCACTGCGGCCCAACACCATGCAGCAGTGTGAAAGCAAGTGTGACGCTACACCCATCTCCAGTGGCGACGGTAAGTCAGTCACCCTTCTGCTAATCCCATGAAAGAGCGGCGATGACGACTTTCGTATCAGCTGCATCTGGCTTTGATCATAGTGTTGACATTTACAAAGTTTGTGGCCTCTGTTTTCAATCTTGAATTAACAAAGGATTATATTGTTCTATTCTTGCCCGTTATGAACTACCTCTGTTTGGAATCGAGGCAGGACACTATTTAGGCAATCCTGGATTCAATAAAAACTCCATGACCCTTGCGAGATGGATCCCTATTCAGATTCCTTCACTGGGGAAGCAGCGCTAGATTATCTCTCCTAATGGACTCTAATGGGATTAGTTGTATCCTAATCAACAGCAGTGACGGAATGTCTACTTTCATTGTCATCAGCCATGGCAGTTTAAAGACTATAATAAGAGACACAATAATTGCGATAGGGCCAGTTAGTGCGCTGCCACACTAATGCAGATGGCCGACTGCCTGCGCTGTGAATCAGGTCGCTCTCTTTTACGCTGTAATTACTTTAAGAGGCTTGTGTCCAGGCCCTGAGTCATGGCCTCTTTTAAGGGAGAGTTTTGGTCTTGATGCAAAGGAAGTCTATAATTTTTCCAGTGCTACAGGGTAGATCAAGATCCTGTCCCCCTCCAGAGATGGTCTTATTATTAGGAGATGCCAACCTCCACTGCTCTTCCAGAAGGAGAAATCATAATGGTCAACTTGGATCATGCATGCCTTTATGACCAATTACATTACAACCTTGACATCATTGAATTTCCGTCAGAGTTGTGTGACATTCAATCACTGTTTGAGGATTCAATAGAAATGAATGAGAAGTGCCTAAACTAAATCCTACCTGTTGCAGAATTGACAGTTACTAAAAACAGCAATTTTTTCAGGTATAAACTCTAAAAATAGGTCAATCCAAAATTAATGTTTAATGGGAAAAACGTTGAAGATTACACAGAAGCTGTTTTGCAACAAAAGCTGTTTATTCAGCATAGTGAAGCCTCTCATCCATTGAGATCCATTGAAAAAACGGCCACCAATTCTTATTTTTATTTTATTTTTTTGCTAAACTTTCCCCCGCCTCCCGCAGAATAACCGTCTGTCCTTCATATTCACACAAATAATGTTCTCAAGCATGTTTATTTTATGTTACAGACACAACCTCAGGTACTATGATAAAATTCACACACACTTATATGTTGAATAACATATCAGTTATTCAATGTGCATAACCATGTCCTTTTATAATAAGTTATCAAGTTCAAGTTTCAAGTTTGTATTTATTTATATAGCACATTTAAAAACAGCAAACAGGGCTGACCAAAGTGCTGAACAATAGACAAGATAAATAGCAAGGACAAACCACACATTCATGACAAAATATCACAATTAATTAAAAGCTAAAGAAAAAAAAAGGGTTTTAAGAGAGGATTTAAAAACAGTTAGAGATTGAGCCGCTCTAATATAAACCGGAAGTTATGTGCTATAAAAACTCGCACTGGTTAATATTCAGGGTAAGTAGAATGTATATAATCAAAACTCTAAACTAATTAAGCATTTGTCCGTTTTTTTTCTGTCAGTTTGCAAGCTAACCAATTAGCCTACTAGCTGTGCATAGTCCGAGGCAATTATGCCCTAAATGATTAGCCTGCTAGCTTATAAACTGCTATTAGGCCCTGTTTACACCTGGTATTAAGATGTGTTTTGCTCGATCGGATCACAATTGGACGACTAAATAGAGGTGTAAACGGGTCTAAAACGTTTTGAGTTTGTCCACTTTCGGCCACTTCCAGAGGTTGTCGAAAACGCATTCGACCGGACTGCTTTCGTAGTGTAAACACTCATGTGGTCGAATGTGTTCGAACAGCCTAATGCGTAAACATTCACTAGCCAGACGGGATTTAAACTTTGTCGGCTGGAGCCAAGAAGTTTGGTTTGAAGATGAAAAACGTATCAAGCACAATGTTCTCTCACCATTCCTGATTTCTAACACACACACACAGCGTTCGACTGGTCTTGCGTCTGTCAGAGCAGAAACTAAAGCTGCTGCTCTCTCTGTGTGTTTTCTGTCATCTCCGGGCATGTTCATGTCAATTTCACAAGCTTATTTTGTCCATTTGATCGAAAAATCTGAAAAAGCCCTTACATTTACCTGCCCATAGACCCTCCCCTAGAAGAAACCAGGACAGAAGTGGAAGTGGATAAAAGAGACAGATTAAAACATCAGGTGTAAACCGGAATGTGTCTCCCTCGTCTACTTGTGATCCGATCAACCAAAACAAATCTTAATACTAGGTGTAAACAGGGCCAGAGTCTGCTAGCTTAGTATGCTGTTAGTGTTAACAGATTAGCCTGCAACCTTAGCATACCATTAACTCATTGTCATTCTAGCTTAGTATTTTAGTATTAGTATTAGTATTTCATTCTAGCTTAGTATTTTAGGACCCCCTCGAAAACGAGATGATGCATCTCAAGGGGTTTATCCTAATAAATAAATTTGAATTTAGTATGGAATTTGCTACACTACCACTACTTTTTTGTACTATTTACTATTCGTAGCTACCTCTGCTACAAAATGATAACTGGAAAGGCTAATTGGATTAGATAGTTATAACTTGATACATTTTGAGACTACTTATTGGGGTACTAGAGGGATAGAATTTTGCACAACAAAAATTACTTACTGGAAATGTATCATGCTGCATCTGATTAGGACACAATGTAACAAGAGGTTGGAATAGACAGGAAATGAACATTAGCACAGGCCAAGTTGTAAAACATCTGACACTGTACCATCATCCTGTGACGGGACGGTAAGATTTATAAAGACCGCTAAATATCATCCATGTGATGAAGACGACAAATTCGGAGTCTTTCCATTTGCGCTCCCTTTCACAAGTGTATTAAAACCCTGGACCGATTACCACCTGGATTCACACAGACATCTAAAATATGACTTGCATTCTAAGAACCCAAAAGGTCGTCCTCAGAGGAAATGCAAACATGCTTTTCATTAAATGATAGGCAAGTCCATATTCCTTGGCGTTTTGAAAGCGATAGGTAATCCAAAATGAATAGTCTGTCATTATTAACTTGCCTCCGTGTCGTTCTAAACCCATCTGTCTTTTTTTCTTCCGTGGAACTCAAATGGTGAATGCTTGAAGAATATCCTGACTACTTTGAAAAGATTTTGAGTGAATACCAACTTCAATTGCAGTGTTTTTCTCACACACATCAATTATATCATGGCTTTGTAAGTCTTGGAATACAGCACTGGAATACAGCTCACAAAAGTATGTCCTCGTTTGGAGTACTTTTAAGATACCTTTACTCTGATTTTGGAGCTTGACAGTCCCAACTCAATTTCATATTTTGTGTTCCACAAAGTTTGGAACGAGATTTTGGAACGAGTAAATAATGACAGACTTTTAATTTTGGGGTGAATCATCCCTTCAACACAAGCCTAAAAGTTTCCCCTTTGTGGTTCCCCAGCATCGACCAATTTACTCACTCCTCGTATCCTTTCTTATTCCACCTTTTTCTCTTCCCCTAGAGTGCAAAGACGTAAATAAGGTGGCATATTGCCCATTGGTGCTGAAGTTCAAGTTCTGCAGTCGTGCGTACTTCAGGCAGATGTGCTGCAAGACGTGCCAAGGACACTGACCCTGCGGAGAGAAGCAGAGACAGATGCTGCAACAAGGAAAGAGAGAGAAACTGGCAGAGAGAAAAGCAGACCAGTGTTGGAGGAGTCAACACTGGGCATGGAGAAGGAAGCCTCTCTCTCTTGCTCATCAACACACACATAACTGCTTTTAGCCCTGTGGAACCCAAACCACTGCTCAGCACTGCGCTGACACCTGTTTTATTTTCACTTCTGTGAAGTGGGAATGTATAAAATGATCATTATTGTTGTTATTTTTATAATAATAATAATAATAATTGCTAATGGTTATTATTATTATCAATGTCTTTCTGTTGTTATAATCCAAAGTGCTGGACACAACGCTCACAGAAGTAGCACGGCAGAGGTTTACTTCAAGGCGCCCATCTACAGGAGTTTGGGATGTTGGTATATCCCCTTGTCTCACATAAACACTCCTCCCACGGTTCTGTTGGCAACTCTGCATTCAGAGGCATTCGAAGCGATGGCGATTACTCACGCTGGCAGCATCAGAGCAATTGGAAGTCATTTGTTTTCAATAAGAGTTGGCGATTTGAAGCCACATGAGCATCAGAGACTGACCACAACCAACAATGGGAGTGCGAACACTGCCATACACGTGATCTGCCACATGATAGGAACGTTTCCAAACAATGGACAGGACAGCGACTTGGTGACTCTTTAGGGTATAAAAAATGTTCACATTTTCCACCCAAATGATACTTTCCACCATTAAAAAAATATATAAGTATAGATCAGGGGTAGCCAACCCTGCTCTTGGAGTGCTACCTTTCAGCAGACTTAGTTTCAACACACCTGCCTGTAATTTTATCTAAACTCTGCAGGATGGTAGCAGGGTTGGCTACCCCTGGTAGAGATTGAATTGACCAATCCAATCCTGCTCCCTCCTGGAGGGCCACTGTCCTACAGAGTTTAACTCCAACCTGCCCAATAAACTTGTCTGGACGTTTCTAGTAATCCTGAATTCTTTAAATACTTGGTTCAGGTGTGTTTAATTGTGGTAGGAGCTAAACTCTGCAGGACAGTGGCCCTCTATGAATAGGATTGGACACCCCTGGTATAGATGGTTAGAGCCTGTGTTGGTCAGCTCAACTGTTTATTTTTGTGGTTAAATGGAGTTACCCAATACTAGATATGCATGTGGTTTTTATTGAAATCAATAACTTGGAACTTCTATGTACATTTACTCACTTGGCAGACACTTTTATCCAGAATGACTTGTATTGAATTCAAGGACTACAACCCTTGACCTCGGAGTTGTTAGCGGCAGGCTCTACCAGTTGAGGAGCTTCTAAACTTGACAGCCCTAGTTGTTACACTTTTGACAATAACTTTCTAAAATAACTTTGAGACTCAAGGGCCAAAGACAAACAGGGTAGTGTGACTGGATGCTGAATTTGTGCAGGAGAAATCTCAATTAGAGCTTCAGAGTCCAGATGTTCAGTTGTGCTAGTCACCTGTTTTACTGAGCTGAATCACATGACCACCGGCCAAAGAATTCCACCATTGTCTGACACTCGAACAAGGCCTGAAAATCAGATTAGTTCCAAAGGGACGTTTCTACTATTGTGTCTCTAGAATTATTGTGGACACCAGAGAGACATTAATTGCGATTCCGACTTGATTCTGCTTTATGGATCCGTATTTTGCTTTAAATTCTGGGGTTCTGACATCTATGCGTCTGTTCCGGGGCCCGCCGTGTTCCAGACGCAATAATTCTCACATAATGCGTGCTGCAGCCACAATCCGCCACATTATCAGCACTATACACAGACAATTCATCAGCACGGGGGTGACTTGCTTGGATATCTCCTGGTCTGTGACGCTGAAGCATTAGTAGAGTTAAGTGAAGGGCCAGTGCCTGGGTAAGCTGCCAGATCCCGCAGATCCGGTTTGCCATCGACTACCTCCAAAACACCTCCTCTTCCTCCTTCCCTGAGATAGCAGTGCTTCCAGCCCACACTCTTAAACCCTCCACACTCAATGGTGCTTTTCTTCTCTCAGTGGAGGACTGTTTGTTCCACTGCCCTTCTTCCGTTCATCTTTTGAGTGGGCGGCTCTTCTGGCCCCGTGGTGCTATAAGACCTTGATGCATTCTGGGTATGCGGTCTAAGCAAATGACAGAAAACCAAGAATTCTTTAGCTCTGTTCCAAATTCTAGTGAGCTTCCTACCTAGACCAGATTTTAAGGCATCATAGGTGCGTTCCTGATGTGAAGACTGTTCCAAAAAGTAAGCTGTTTATTTATGACACTTTTAGGCGGGAATAGCATGTTTCCTTTGCAAAGGCAATACCAGAATCCATTGTGTTGATCTCAATGTAAAACATTCTAGATTGCAGACTAAGTGAGAAATATAAATATTTGACTTAATACTGAAGAGTATGAAAAATATATAAAAATACAATTGAACCCAGTACTTATGTGCTGTGCATTTTTATGCTTGTTGGACTATAACGCATTAACTTGCTAACATTAAACTCTACTGGGATCAATTGTGAATCAAGTTTCCTGTGCACTTTACGAATGCTATTTATGTGGCACAGTAGCGAACCTTGACTCTTGAACCTTGGCCCGTTCACCAGCTTCCCTCATCGGGAAAAAAGTAAACTCGGCTTAAAATCATCGCAGTTTACTGTGCCTTTGACAAGAAATGCCACAAGCAAACATCAAAGTATAGCGAATAGCGTCAGCTATTTTATTAGCAGGTTTTTTTCCGATCGTGTTCCTCACAGCAGGCGGAGAGCGTCATACACTCAGTGATAACAAGCCCCACCCATTAAAAGGGACTGTATGATTGGTCGATTTTCCTGTCAATTGAAATTCGTCTCTAATTGACTCGCTAAGACATGGACAGAAAAGCAGCTCGCTGAGTTTTGAAACAGAGCTTTAGCATATTTTTTTCTGTCTTTCCTTCCTTTCTGTTCTTTTACCTCACACTGGTTTAAGATCGTAAGTTAACATTCCACCAACTACATGTTGCAGTTGTCCACCATCCACGACTGAGTGACTTTACCCTGCTCTCTTAGCCAAGGGAACATCAAATTATAGAGCATTGGGGGACCTCAATCGTAGATCTCACCTTTGTTATGGGACACATTTGATTATTGAAGTTTTGAGGGACAGTTTTATGTTTTTAATCATACAACCATTTTACTTTTGCTGCTGCTACTCTTTTGTAGCCACAAACAACATTAATTGGATATGTATTGTTATGAAATGTTTAAACTGGGATTATTCAAGAGTGAACCTTGAACAGCGGAACTGTAGGCCCAACATGCTGAGCATCCAGATATTGTGCTTGGTAAAATCCTAAGGCTTGAAGTACAAGTTTACTGGCTTTGGGACACGGACTCTCAATAAGACACTCAATGAAACTGGTACTGATCGCTGTGAACTTGTGTCTTTGAATGTCACATTGTTTAACCTGTACCTATAGAAGAGTTTTGCATTTTTGTGAATAGTTGCTTACATTTTATATTCAGTATTATTAATGTTGGTACACTGTTACTAATTTTTTTCATTTGTAAATTATATGCTAATTTATTGCCATGTGTCACTTGTCTTATGTATGTTTCACTGCATGCAAACCAAACTCTAGTCTAGTGAAAACGATGCAGTGGAACACCCTTCACGATCTTGTTTTAGTAAAATGTGAGTTTGAATGTGTCTTTTTTGCTACTATAGGGCGCTCTTAAAATACGTCAGAATGCTTTTGTGTGAGTCAGTGAGTTTGAGTGTGCGTATGTCGGTATGGTATTACTGCACTGTTTCTCAAGGGCCAGTGCTCACAAAAATAATAATTATAATAAATAATGGTAAATGGTGTCAAAGGGTAAGCAAAAAAATATATTAACTTTAACATTCTCAGTCCTTTGGCTTGTACCCTTGGTGAATCCTACAACATGTAATGGATCCTGAATAAAATGACTTTAAAAGGGTTGTGTTTGCTTAGATGTTCTTTCCTGTGGTCTCCCACAAATGCTTAGCAATTCTAAATGAGTTTACTACCGGAGAACAACAGGCTCATTCATTAAAGAGATAATTCTCCCAAAAAGGAAAATTCTGTCATTATTTACTCGCCCTCATGTTGTTCCAAACCCAAATTGTTTTCTTTATGCCGTCGAACACACAAGAAGATATTGCTGAATGTCCAGAGTGTTCTGAATCTTTAAAGAAAAAAGTCTGTAAAGTTGTCTACTTCTGAATGGCTATCTGTGGATAAAGTTGCTATTGTTCGCATAGCATGTATAACGGCAACTGCCTGCTAACAAGCCAAACCTTGACCACCTGAGGGAGACGGACTGGATTATTTTCTTTGCATTGCTTTATGGGATTGTATGCTTGCTGCTGCTGAGTAATTTGCTGTGATTTCCACCTCCAGCGACTTCTCTGATTGGAAGATCTCTCTTGTTAGGATCATGGGTAGTGTAGTTCTTCACTGGGAATTCAAATGTGACGCTATAGAACAAATCAAACATGACACTCAACAGGAACATTTCTCATCACTTATTCTCAACATTTTTGAATACTTGATTCTGATTGGTCAGACTGACCATCCAGGTAACTAAGTGGCTGTTTTCAACTAAAAACTTTTACGCCTTTTAACGGCGTTTTGGGTGCCTGAAAACGCAAAGTTTTGAAAAAGGGCTTCAAAGTGCAATTTTTTTAAAACAGTCTCATTGTAAACAACAAAAACGTGAATCTCTGAAGAAGATGACGTCATGCACATACGTGTTCAGTCTATAGTGTTTCATCGCCATTTAATGGCCTGGCAGCAGAATACAGCGTTTTTAGTCGTTTTCACGGATCCGTGTGAATGGGGATCGTTTTGACAATGGTGTCGTCTGTACGCAACTCAAAGGAAAAACTTCTCAGTTTTAAGCATATCGTTTTTGAGTGTGTCGTGTAAACGTACCCGAAAAGTGGCACAACTTTTATGTCTCTCGTATCATTCCGCTGACTCTTACTTGTTTCATACAGTACAAACACAATGCCTCCATCTTGCATCTCAGTGAAAATTGTAGTGAAAATTACCTCAGAGGACAGTATTCATATTACTTGTAATATTGTTAGTGTTCATCATGTTGCTCAGGTGATTGTTTTGTACATTGTAATGGACATTTCAAAATTTTTTTGCTTGGCAGAAGCTTTAATATAATATAAAAGTAAAATTTTAAAACATCTTAACATTTTATATCACATTTTATACCCATATAACAAGGGAGGTAATACTTAAACAATATTGCAAGAATTACCATCTGATTGTACATTATTCCTTAATCTCGTATTTCAAAGTATACGTTATGGTAAAAAGTTTCACTTTTTTTACATCTGAAACCCAACTATTGCGCTATTTGAACACTTATGCCCTACTTGCCGTAATGCTATGAATTACTAGCAGCTCTGTTTTGTCTAAAGCAACTACTTTTGAATACCTGAAAAACTGCTTGGGCTTCTGTCTCGTTTACTTGGAAAAAGACAGCGATCGAAACAGAGACTGAGAGAAGATTAAGAACGTCTTAGCAGCTGGCTGCAACTGTCAGCTACAATTCGGCTGTTTACATGTCGACTCTCAGCATAGCCACAACAAAGATGAAGCAAGACAGCAGAGACACTTGCCAAGAAACAATTCCATTCTTTATCTCTTTGT